ATTTTTATTTGGATTTCATGTAATGGACATACACAAAATAGTCCAAATTGGTGAAGTGAAATGAAAAAAATAGCTTGTTTCAAAAAATTCAAAAAAATAAATAACGGAAAAGTGGTGCGTGCATATGTATTCACCCCCTTTGCTATGAAGCCCCTAAATAAGATCTGGTGCAACCAATTACCTTCAGAAGTCACATAATTAGTTAAATAAAGTCCACCTGTGTGCAATCTAAGTGTCACATGATCTGTCACAAGATCTCAGTATATATACACCTGTTCTGAAAGGCCCCAGAGTCTGCAAAACCACTAAGCAAGGGGCACCACCAAGCAAGCGACACCATGAAGACCAAGGAGCTCTCCAAACAGGTCAGGGACAAAGTTGTGGTGAAGTACAGATCAGGGTTGGGTTATAAAAAAAATATCAGAAACTTTGAACATCGCACGGAGCACCATTAAATCCATTATTAAAAAATGGAAAGAATATGGCACCACAACAAACCTGCCAAGAGAGGGCCACCCACCAAAACTCACGGACCAGGCAAGGAGGGCATTAATCAGAGGCAACAAAGAGACCAAAAATAACCCTGAAGGAGCTGCAAAGCTCCACAGCGGAGATTGGGGTATCTGCCATAGGACCACTTTAAGCCATACACTCCACAGAGCTGGGCTTTACAGAAGAGTGGCCAGAAAAAAGCCTTTGCTTCAAGAAAAAAATAAGCAAACACGTTTGGTGTTCGCCAAAAGGAATGTGGGAGACTCCCCAAACATATGGAAGAAGGTACTCTGGTCAGATGAGACTAAAATTGAGCTTTTTGGCCATCAAGGAAAATGCTATGTCTGGCACAAACCAAACACCTCTCATCACCCCGAGAACACCATCCCCACAGTGAAGCATGGTGGTGGCAGCATCATGCTGTGGGGATGTTTTTCATCGGCAGGGACTGGGAAACTGGTCAGAATTGAAGGAATGATGGATGGTGCTAAATACAGGGAAATTCTTGAGGGAAACCTGTTTCAGTCTTTCAGAGATTTGAGACTGGGACGGAGGTTCACCTTCCAGCAGGACAATGACCCTAAGCATACTGCTAAAGCAACACTCGAGTGGTTTAAGGGGAAACATTTAAATGTCTTGGAATGGCCTAGTCAAAGCCCAGACCTCAATCCAATTGAGAATATGTGGTATGACTTAAAGATTGCTGTACACCAGTGGAACCCATCCAACTTGAAGGAGCTGGAGCAGTTTTGCCTTGAAGAATGGGCAAAAATCCCAGTGGCTAGATGTGCCAAGCTTATAGAGACATACCCCAATAGACTGGCAGCTGTAATTGCTGCAAAAGGTGGCTCTACAAAGTATTGACTTTTGGGGGGGGGGTTGAATAGTTATGCACGCTCAAGTTTTCTTATTTTTTGTCTTATTTCGTGTTTGTTTCACAATAAAACATATTTTCCATCTTCAAAGTGGTAGGCATGTTGTGTAAATACAATGATACAACCCCCCCCAAAATCCATTTTAATTCCAGGTTGTAAGGCAACAAAATAGGAAAAATGCCAAGGGGGGTGAATACTTTTGCAAGCCACTGTATGTCACTGCAGACAGACTGGCTAATCAGTGCCACCAACTGTCCTGTCCTGGCCAGGACCCATGTGGCATAGAGTGAGGGGCATACATGTCTCCCTTCACCAGGTGGATGAGATATCAGGACGTTCCTTCCCAGTCTGTTTAGTTTAGTGTAGTCTACTTTAGTGTGTTGTTGCCTCATTTGAAATGAGCTTTGGCTGATCCTTATCAAAATCTCCATCTTGCAGTATTTATGTATAGTTTTATCAGCTGCATGATATAGGCCACATACACTGCTGTGATTGCTGTTGAGACTGGACCGTTAAATGGCATATGCTGAGGTGAATGAGTACATAGACATTAATAAATAACCGTGGTAAAAAGTCTCAACATATTTCTGTGTAAACTGTCTCAAATAGCATAGGGCAAGACTACACTTACTTAGTAGGCTAAAGTGCGCATTTCATTACCCATTCAGGCGCTAACTGATACTCCTTGATAGTCCTGAAATTCTCTCCCCTTAAGTCCTACTTGGAACAATATCAGAGAGGGGTTTTCCAAGGGAACTTAGCACATACTTAACCAAAGGGATCCTAAGATAGTGCTCATGATGAGAATGACGAGGTTAATATCTTACACATTCACATTTCAGTCAAGCAGAGTCTCTCTCTATCCAATATCCAAGGGAGGGGTAATGGCAGAGTACATCAATAGTGGGCATTGTCTGTCCAGAGGAAAGCCTGTGGAGAGTCTGACACCCATGTAGCTTGGCTCTGACCGATGGAGACCCAGGGGTTTGATATTGGAGAGTGTTGAGGGGTTCCTTCTCAAAATTACATAAATATGTCCTTAGTATGTCCTATAACTTCTTAGAATGGAGAGAAAAACATCATCATAAACCCTCCACAGCTCTGTACTCAGAAGCCTATGACCTCTGCCCTATGCCCTCTGCCCTCTGCTGGAATTAATGGTTTTCACCAGCATGGATTACAACATACATTCTAATCTGGCAATTGATGGGAATTAATATAGTCTCCTTTATTTACTTACCAAATAAAACACAAATGTCCTCCCAGTCCTCCTCCTCCCCAGCTACTGGCATTCAGACAAGGATCAGCTCATATAACCTAAGTTTAGGCTGTTAAGTTACGGGACACAAGAAAGCTCTAACAGTAAATAAATAAATAAAATGTTAAAGTTAAAGTAGCCTTAAGTGCATTTATTGTAAACCATTTGGTGTCTTTTGGTTTTTAAACATGGTGGCCCACCTGACAACATTTCTAATAAGATGCTCTGTTTCTATTCATGTTGAATTATTTACTGCCAGTCATTTTCCCTCTGCATGATGCCAGATCATTAATAAGGAATGGCCTTTATGGTTCGGTTAGCCTGCATAGAGAAAATATTTTCCCCCTTTTCTTAACATGTGTTGGGTTACTCTAAGGGCATTATGTTTATGGTAAGGATTACAATTCTTAAAGGCTACTGGAAATTGATAAGTGCGTATTTGTGTAGACTAGACTATATGGTAAATGTGCTGTTACTGTTTCCGTAGTGGCTTGCATTTAGTTAGTTTACTCTTTGCTCGGGTAGATGGCAAATAGGCTCATATCTTCTCAGTGGTGATTGCTTGATTAACTGGGCTGGTTGCCAGATGGAATCCTAGGGACGTGGGTCGGGCTCCACTTCTTGAGCGCTGCAGAACACGCACGGGGTCCGAGTGTTGAGGAGTCGTAAAAGTGTCCAAACAGCACAGCGTGGATTCTGGTGTCACTTTAACAATCTGCCAGTCTTTGGGTCTAGAGCGACTGAAGGCTACTCTGATTTGGAAGTTCGACGTGCCGTGAATAAACTGGCAGCTGTATGATAATAAGCGCTAATCCAAAGACCCACACAGTGACGGCAGCAGGCAGGTGCTATTGTGGAGCGCGCACATGTCTGAATAGGGGAATTATGCACGATGCGGTACTGACAGTCCCAGAATCTATCACTGTTCAGTGGACTTAACGGACGTTTCATTTGTAACTCGATAGAGATGCCTATTCACTGAGCATTTGATTAGATTTCCTAGATTTTCTGTTATATTTTTGTTTGCCTATTTACATGTCCAATGCTGGATCATTTTAAACGTTTGACAATGAAGATATTTGGAAGGTTGGACCACACTCTGGTGGGTTGAGTTTTATTTTGTAGTCTACTTTACTAATAATTTAGTCACTTCTACATTGTATTGTTTTGATTACATTTGCATTATGTTGCTTTATGGAGAGTTGACCTTTTGTGAAGAGAGGAGACCCATCATTCGAATAGTGATATTTTTGTGTGTCATAAAAATATTACTGTTTTTTAATTGTTGTCATGACTTGGTGGAGTATTGAACAGCATATTAGAAATAGGCTAGTTTATGGTAAACTGCAATACATTGTAAGATCAGACTGTAACAACAAATTGTACAATGCATATTTGTGTATGACAAAAGGAGAGAGATTTAAGAAGTAGTTGTATTACTAAAAAATGGAGTGAATAGTAGTTGATGGCGTGCTGCCCTGCTCAGTGCTGCTAATACCCTGTTATGAAACTCAACCGATCACAGTGTGCCTGATGAGATCTGACTGTGTGCACCATCACTGGCATTCCTTTATCTAGGTCAGCTATGGAGATATTCTTAATCATCCTAAAAGAAAGGGAATACAGATTGGACAGAGTCATCAATCCTTCACTGTTTGTTGCTTTTCATTAGAGAACTCATTATTTAGATGGAGCTTGACCAGGATGGGAAGATTGTGTTTAATAGGCTGTTTGTGTATTTGTCATGAAAAATAACCCAAACTGAAGCAAAATCAATGTTCTGTACCTATTCACCTGTCCATCGGTGGGTGTCACAGGCAAAGTTTCAGGACATCTAATGATTCTAATCTAATACTTAGATTATTTCTTAACATTCGTCTCACAAAGGACCACCATATTTATTCTCTGAGAACTCTTTCATCAAGACTCTATTCACTAATGAGACAATGGTGCCTTGGCAGATGAAGCTTTACCACTGTGATGTAATGTTGTTAATGGGCCCGACAAAACACAGGCACTAAAATTGTTATTTATTTCTGTTGAAGGCATGGTAGCTGTTATGTACATGTTGGTCTGTTTTGTGAGACAGGCCTTTATCTCAAGAATGATGCACATCATAGCTACTGCTAACTAAATTAAACCAAATTACTGTCTGACTTGGCACAATGATTCAGCTGAGACTGGAACTAACTGACTGCACTAGGACACTGAACCTCAAGTAGCTGGCTTTCACTGTGTAGTTGGCGTAAATTAAGAATCTGTGAAAAGGGTAGGAGGTAGTCATTTCTCTTCAGCCAGAAGACGCTTACACAACCATTTGCGTCACAGTGAACATCTCAGATGGGAGTTCCTAAAGGGCACAGTTTACACATCACATGCGCACACACGTGATTGTGTTAAAATGACTGCACAATGTATGCATCTTTCTTGGAGGGCTTATATCACATCCTGATCTTATGTGATGTCATAGTTCAACAAAGCGCAGAAGAGACTCCAGTTTAGTGGTTCTCAAACCTCTCCTTTGGAAGCCCTAGACTTTTCACAATGTTGTTTTAGCCCTGAACTAACTCACCTGATTCCATTTATGAAGGGATTGTTGAATAGTTGACTAATTGAATCAGGTGTGCCAGCTCTGGAATCGATCAAACACATGGAACGGCTGGGGTCCCCAACGAGGGATTTGAGAACCACTGCTCCAGTCACTGTCCCTCTCTAATGCGTTCCCTCACTGACAGTGAAATACCCTCAATTTTTCCTATGTTGAGTGGCAACAGGGTTAACTTGGGGTTCCCTTTGTCTCTCTCAACTCTGACAGGACTTCTCGTATGACGACTCAAAGGTGGAGTTGTTCAACGTGGATGCTCCCAATGGCGTGGTGATGGAGGGGTACCTGTTCAAGAGGGCGAGCAATGCTTTCAAGACCTGGAACAGGTAACTAGATGACTGACAAGTAGCTATCACTAAACCAGCCACACTCTGGCTTCAAATCTATATATGCAGTATGGCAGTAATCCTTTTGATTTGATCTCTAACTTAGCAATGGTATGTTTTGTGGATTTTGTATAGGATTTCTAGACATGCCATAGAGAACTAAGGAAATACTTAGATTATATCTGTAAATATAGTCTATTCACTAGGAAACCAATGGCCATACTTGCTAGCATTGGGTTACCTTGGTTAGAGAGAGACCCCCATTTCCAGTGAGTTCACGTAGTAGGAAATAGTTTAGTGGAGATCTATACTATATACTGCCTGTAGAAACATATCCATTTAACATCCATCTGTTATTCATTTCTTGTTTTTCAGGCGTTGGTTTTCCATCCAGAACAGTCAGCTGGTCTATCAGAAGAAGCTGAAGGCAAGTCCACATAACCACTAGCTACCATCTCTATAGGTCCCCATTAAGTGCAACTTTAATGGGTTATAGAGCTGCTCTGAAAGTCACAGTGATCTACATTGGCGAAATGCAACCCTCCCTCATTTAACTCTGACTGCATTAGGGCAGAGGACCATTACAGGATACTCCTCAGAGTCCTGTCCAAAGACTACGATGGATGGCTGTATGTGTTAACCCCATCCTACGCCCTTACATAGACCCCGCACATTAATCCATAGTGGGATATAGCCCCGTGTAGCTCAGTTGATAGAGCATGGCGCTTGCAACGCCAGGGTTGTGGGTTCATTTCCCATGGGGGGCCAGTATCAAAAAATGTATGCACTCACTAACTGTAAGTCGCTCTGGATAAGAGCGTCTGCTAAAATGACAAAAAATGTAAAATATTGAATGTGAGCGTCAGTGTACCCATATGCACATTGGATTAAAAGGGAAAAGGTGCTCAACTTGGAAATCCAAATGACATGTCTTACTTACTCCAGGACACAGTGGACATAATGTTGGTGTGGTGACCTGATTGACTGACCGTGCCTTTTTCACTGTTACTGACCAATAGGATTCCCTGACAGTGGTGGTAGAGGACCTCAGGCTTTGCTCTGTCAAGCCCTGTGAGGACATCGAGAGGAGGTTCTGCTTCGAGGTCGTCTCCCCCACCAAGTATGTTCTTGTTAGTGCCCTTATATTAAGGAATTGACTGTAACTCAATTCACCTTTATTCCAAGGGATTTTTCTTATACATTCATTCAATGTATTGAAATCCCTTGAGGTGAAACTTTAAGAAAATGTCCATTAAGATTTCTTCTGAAGTATTCTCCTTCTTCTAAGAGGGTCAAGGGCAATAGTTTTGTACTGTTGGGAGACTGTGTGCTGTAATATGAGGCTGTCTTTCCATTCTAAAGGAGCTGTATGCTCCAGGCAGAGTCAGAGAAGCTTCGGCTAGCCTGGATCCAAGCAGTGCAGGCCAGCATTGCCTCAGCATACAGGGAGAGCCCAGACTACCATTATGTCGAGGTCAGTTGGTCCATCTATCTAAAACCTAACTGTCAAACAAATGCTAATATTCTCTTCACTTTTTCATCACGACACATAAGCTTATATGCTTGCATGAAGTGATAAAATCAAGACTCTCATGCCTCAGAGAATGATGCTTGCATCTCTTTGTTACGCTCTGTTTACCATGTCTTTTCTCACCACTAGCGTCTGGACAGGACAGCCTCACCGTCTGTCAGCAGTATCGACTCGGCCAGTGAGCCTCGGGAGCGTAGCATGAAGGGGGAGAGTATTCTGCACCGCATCCAGTGTCTCCCAGGCAACGAGTATTGCTGTGACTGTGGCCAGGCCGACCCGCGCTGGGCCTCCATCAACCTGGGCATCCTGCTTTGCATCGAGTGCTCCGGCATCCACAGGTAATGTCTGTTTGTATGGAGGGCAGGGCATCCTGCTTTGGCATTCACAGGCACTGTGTGTCTGGATGGACAGGAGACATCTGGGTCACCTCAGTTTATATAGACCCATGCGGCGGCGCACAATTGGCCCAGCGTTGTCCAGGGTAGGGGAGGGAATGGCCGGCAGGGATGTAGCTCAGTTGGTAGAGCATGGTGTTTGCAACGCCAGGGTTGTGGGTTCGATTCCAGTATAAAAAATAAAAATGTATGCACTAACTGTAAGTCGCTCTGGATAAGAGCGTCTGCTAAATGACTAAAATGTAAAATGTAAATGTAAATATAGAACTTAATCTAATAAAAGTATACTAGCTAGAATAAGTATAGCTATATATTAGCTAGTATAAATGTAGTATAGCTAGCTTGGCCTGTCGAGAAAGACTACATAAAGGCAAACTACACTGGCCACACATATTGTTGTATGGACTATGGTCTATGCTAGACCTAAACTACTTTTGGTTGTAGATCAATGGATGTAATGTAGTAGCAGCAGATTGTAGCATAGGGCGAGGGGTGATTAAGGGGTCACTTGTGACTGTTTCAGACCATGTTTCCTACCATGTGCTGGTCTCTTGGATCTGAGAATATGAAAGAGTCCCAATGGCCAAAAGGGTGCCTTAGCCTTACCATCTGCTTAGCATAGGGCACGTTCTGCCACACCCCCGCTGGGATTACTATGCGGCTAGGCTCCTTAAATCTACTTATTGGATCACGCTGTGTTTGATTGGGAGAGCTTATTGCGTGAGTAGACAAGATGGGAGTTAGACGATAAGCACCACAGCACTGAGACACTTCAAATATAATGCCATCCCTTTAATAGTGAAAGTACGCAATTGTTGACTAACCAGGCCAAATCAAGCAGAATATTCCTGTCTGATACCTGTCTAATGTCCTTAACTTTATTTAATTAAACTTTTTTCACCTTTATTTAACCAGGTAAGCCAGTTGAGAACAAGTTCTCATTTACAACTGCGACCTGGCCAAGATAAAGCAAAGCAGTGCGATAAAAACAACAACATCACAGAGTTACATATGGAATAAACAAAACGTACAGTCAATAACACAATAGAAAATCTATATACACTGTGTGCAAATGTAGTAAGTTATGGAGGGAAGGCAATAAATAGGCCATAGTGCAAAATAATTACAATTATAATTTAGTATTAACACTGGAGTGATAGATGTGCAGAAGATGTGCAAATAGAGATACTGGCATGCAAATGAGCAAAATAAATAACTATGTAAATAACAATATGGGGATGAGATAGTTGGGTGGGCTAATTACAACTGATGCTTAAAGATAGTGAGGGAGATAAGTGTCTCCAGCTTCAGAGATTTTTGCAGTTCGTTCCAGTCATTTGCAGCAGAGAACTGGAAGGAATGGCGACCAAAGGAGGTGTTGGCTTTGGGGATGACTAATACTGTAGCGCTAGGGTTGACTCTAGCACTCCATACATCATAGATGCACCCCACTAGAGTATTTGTCAAGCATTAGGCTAGATGGGAAGGTTTCCCTCCATTTATGGTTTACTGCAGAGATGCTGCAATTATCAATGCTTATGTAATCACCACCTCCTCTGGAGCATCTGCTGAATATTCATGATCTGTTTCTCTCAGAGCCTGTCTTCTCACAGTGTTGAGACGAGATCACATGAGGCTTCTCATTAGAAAGGAGGAGGGATACACAGAGACACTATCTCACACAGTTTCTTTTTTGGCATGCCGCGCAGCAGTTGCCTGGATACCAAAAGGTTTTGTTGGTGGAGCGGCGATTTGCATGACATTGAGGGCAGCTACTCTGTTTCCCAGGGGATAACGCCTGTGTGATTTGAAACCCCTACTACAGCTATTCAACTGTCATGGAGCTTCCTGTGTTGCTTATTAGGGGAGGCTATTACAAAAAGGCTATTTTTCCTATTACGTCTGCCTTCTTAATGTTGTTATAAGCAAAGCAAGGAAAAAATATGTGCATCATGATGTTAACAACACTAACTTCAAAAGCTTCCTACCCAATAATAACTATAGCCATGGAACTTGAATACATACAGGATTCAAATGCCATCACTTTAAGACTTTTTGTGTCTCTGTTGCAGGAGTTTGGGTGTTCACTGCTCCAAGGTACGCTCTCTAACGTTGGACTCATGGGAACCTGAGTTACTCAAGTTAATGTGCGAGCTGGGAAACAGTGTCATCAACCACATCTATGAGGGAGCATGCGTGGAGCAGGGCCTGAAGAAACCAGGGCCCTCAAGTTCCAGGTAAAAACTGCCTCTATGTTATTTTTCTCTTTGAATATTTAGATTATCAATTGTTTATTGGTGGAGACTAGGAATGTCCTCTGAGCTACTGTGTATATATGATGGTAGATGCTAGGGTCATCGTCATCAATCAATGCTATCCATGCTATCCTCTGCAGGCAAGAGAAGGAGGTGTGGATCAAATCTAAGTACGTGGAGAAGAAGTTCCTGAAGAAGTTGGGGGCCACCGAGGTGCTGGTGAATGGCAGGCGAAAGTCAGAGCGCCGGTGGAGTGTGAAGAAGTGCCGGAGACACAACAGTGCCACCACAGTGCCCAAGACCCGACGAAAATACCGCCAGGAGCCGGGCAGTGCCTCCCCTGCTACCCTCTCCTCAGGTACTCTAATTGCTCTTCTGGCACTAGAGAAAGGATACCTTATTTATCTTTGTATCCATATTCCTGATAGTGCTAAACCATAAGCTGACAATGAAAACCCAGTACATAAGACATGTAATATTTAGACATTCCCTCCTTGTGCTTAACAGCAGCTTCAGCTCTAGAGAGGAAGTTCCGACGAGAGTCACTGTTTTGTCCAGATGAGCTGGACAATCTCTTCTCTTACTTCGACACAGGATCTGGGCCTCGTAGTAAGTTACCTACCCATCTAATATACAGACACTACACCCTAAACCACAGAGATACTTGAATCCTCTATGTGGTGTGTAAAGTGAAATAGCTAGCAGCAACAGTGACTAATGTGTCCCTGGCTTGGCTCCTATTGGCCCTGCAGGTCTGAGCAGTGACAGTGGCCTGGGCGGCAGTACAGACGGCAGCACAGACATCCTGGTGTTCGGCTCAGTGGTGGACAGTGTCACAGAGGAGGGTAAGAGAAACCCATACCTGTAACTGATGGAATGGAAGACAAAATGCACAACATATAGGTTCAGCCATTGAATTGAGTGCCATTTTCAAAAAACCTGACAATTGATCGCAATCGTCCTTAACTGCCCTTGAGGGGATAAATAAAGTTGTATTGAATCCTAGTTGTCACGGTTGTTTTTCTGGTTTTGTAACTCTGCTGCTTCTGTCTCTCTGCAGAGCGTGAGGTGTCAGAGGGCTCTAGCGGAGAGGCTGAGATGGAGCCGGAGCGTGAGACCCAGTCAGACCCAGAGGATGGGCGTGAGCTCCATCCTGGGGCGCTGCTCTACAAGGCCTCCCAGGCACGCAACCTGCCCATCATGGCCGAGGCGCTGGCCCACGGGGCTGACGTCAACGCCGTCAACGACGAGGATGATGGCAAGAGCCCACTCATACAGGCTGTGATTGGGGTGAGTCATTGTAATAACAGGCAGGCTTGTTCTTAGTACACTGGCAAAGGCAGTCCTTGTCATTCACGATGAATAGTGTGGACGCGCTGGATGCATCTTGCTGAAATATTCTTCTTCAGTAGCCTCAACTGACAGAACTGCAACATACATCAATGCATGCATCTATCCATACAGCATGTCTATGCATGATCACAATATTCTAAAAATGCACCAAGTATTGGGAGCATATTTAGAGTGTGCAATTTTCTGTCACAATTTTGATACAGTTTACCTTCCGTTAGTCAGCACCTCTACGAAAATGTTTGGGTGTGCGTCAGCTTATGCTTTTTACTGACCACAATATTCTGTCACATTTTATTGTGCTTTCTTTGGCCACATGGAGAGAGCCTCATGACTTGTGTGTGTTCCATTCCAGGGCTCTTTGATAGCCTGTGAGTTCCTGCTCCAGAATGCAGCTGACGTCAACCAAAGAGACGCAAGGGGGAGAGGGGCCGCTACACCACGCCACATATCTGGGACACACAGGGTGAGTAGGACCGAAGCATAACACCTTCCCTCTTCCTTACTATTGTCAATGGCCTTTTTGAGTCACTAGTGAACATTTTAAAGAATAGTTTTCATGGCCAATGGTGTAGCTTGCAAAGCAGAGTATTGTTCAGTTCTTTTTTACATTAATATTGTTCCTCAGGCTAGATGGTATAAATGACAGAGCTGCTGAGTACAGATATTTTAATGCTGATTAGATGTGGGAGCGTTCAGTACATGTTCACGTCTGATCTGTCTCCATGCTGCCCTCTACAGGCAGGTGTGTTTGTTCCTGAAGAGAGGAGCCACGCAGAACGACGGGGACGAGGACGGCCAGGACCCTCTGAGTATCGCTGTGCAGGCAGCCAACGCAGACATCGTCACCTTGTGAGTTTCAGTGGGACACCACCCTGTCCCTCAACGTACTCAGCCTCACCTTCACACAAACCTTTGAAATACATATTATGACCAGGGTTAGCTTGGTAGACCACTGTAGCTCCTCACTTCGGGGAAGTATGAGTGGATCCATCTAACATGTTGTGTTCCATCCCTCTCCCCCTCTCTTTTTTCCCCAAGGTTGCGTCTGGCCAGAATGAACGAGGAGATGCGGGAGTCGGAGGGACCGTTCGGCCAGCCAGGTCAATACCCCACCAGCAGCCCCACTGAACAGCAGTATAAGAAATGCATACAAGAGTTTATCTGCCTCAACATAGCTGAGTGCTAGAAGTCAGTCACACTACCTAGTCCTGGTCCCGTTCAGGCTTTCCCTTCTGGTGATGGTTGGAGGAGAAGCCAATAGTATACCAGGACTGTGGCAGGACAGGCCTGTTGGGAATCTTGTGCAGGAAGGAACGTTGTCCAAAACACACATTTCTCTACCAGATTCCCCACACGCTGCTGTCCCGCCCAGCTTCATGGTTCTTCTCTAAAAACCTGAATTCTTCTTAAGTGTTCTACCCAGTGCTCTAGACAAAATAGCAGCAAACTAACATCGTTCAAACGAGGCCACACCAGAATATGCCAACTACTATTCCCTCAGGCTTATCAATGGTATATGATGTCAATATTATTAACTCTATCATGATGTCAAACTGTACTGTTGACTTGGACTGATAATGGCAACATTAGTTCAGAGTTAGATCATTTGTCAACAAATGGTTAGGGACCAACTTTATAATCGACTTTATAAGTTCATTTAAATCATCTTTACTATACCATAATGTACCCTACCTATATCCATGTCAAGCAAATTAATTCAGATACTCTATATTCATTTGGAGAGTGGACAGGTGTTTGCTTGTGGTTTTCAAGGTAGGGTAGTGTGCTCCGAACCAAAGACCAGATCAGACCAATATGTTGCACATTACTTTCATCAAGCTACTCTCTACCTGCTCATGTAACAATACCAAATCACTATACGGTAGTCTTGTCAAGGGTATAAAAACAGACCTTTAAGGCCTGTAAGTCGTCTTTATATCTAGTCAGTTATTACAAATGTATGAATTCTGCTCCAGCTGTGTTGTGGCATGAGGTGGTTCTTTAGTACACGCATGTCGTGTGAAAAGGGGCGGGTACTTATGAATTTCATTTAGGTGATTAGACGGGATAACAATGAAGCTAAGTAACAACTGTGATTGAGTGTAGATGATATGTATTATTTATAATTTCATAGATTTTAAAGCAACATTATGCACTTTTCCTACCAACAATGATTTGAATTTAAGTTGGTTACTTTTTGGTATTTTCATTTAGTAGTGTAGGTTTTTACCATAATTTATGATGAACTGCCCAGAGCAATAGTGCAATGATCATTTAAATACAGATACTCTGTATTTTTTGTATTAATTTTATTAATACGATGCAGATGGTATTTTTTTAACTGGATATATTTTGTTAGATTTTATTTTCCTTAGCACTCACACACATAAGGCCAGTTAACCTTTACTGTCATTTCTTCACGTCTCGTCTTGGAAAAGACAACCACAACTCACAATCTTATAATAGAAAACGACTGGGATTTACCTTAAACTGCGATGAGATGGAAGTTTTTTATATAATATGAAAACTCACATGTATTAGGTACAGTATTTGTATATGTTTGTCGAAAATATTGACTTATTATGGTATTATGATGTATCATGGCTATACAGTATTAGATTAGTTCTGGGTTTCTTGGTTAAATAGTGCATGGGTTGCCGTTGCCCAGGTCTTTCAAAGCCATGTTGGTTTTGTTTACTTAATTAATCTGTGTATGTTAATATTTGATATATTGTTAAAAGAAAATAACTGCGTGTGCTGCCAAATCATGAGAACTGTACATAAAAAGACATTGCAGAGGTTAAATCTGTGGTCTATGGTCAAACTGAAACTGAAACTAAATATATTGGATAGAATACCCCATAACATACAGGCATAGTTTCCCATTGACTTCTACAGGCCTATGAGAACAGCAGAGAAAGCTTGGTCCATGCAAACATGCCAGCTTTCCCTCTAGCTCCTCAGAATGCCAACAGTGACCCTCTTCTCTGTAAGCACTGCCTATGTACACACTATACATGCCGTGTGTACATAGTGAGAGGGTGACCACAGTGCCCAGGTTTCCTTTGATACTGTCCAGTGGCTTACTGCCATTTTGAAATAATCTTAAACAGGAAATGTAATTAGTTGTCCTCGCTTCAGGCTAGTAACAACTTATGTTTGGCATTGCGTTTGTGTTGCTTGAGTTTACTTCAAGCCAAAGACCACACAAAGTTCAAGTCATTTGAGGAGAAAATTATAAGGAGTAACAAAGAAGACGAGACCAAGAGTAGTGACTCTAATTAAATATCTGGGGAACAATGTTATGACCAAACAATGCCAATGATTTGCATCAAGCCACTAAAGGTTTACATGTTGTACAGTACAGTGTAATGAGTCAGTGGATTGATTAAACTATAGGTTGACTAGGTGACTGTTCTGCTGGAAATATGCTAAAAACTATTAACACTTAAAACTGCTTGCAACTTTGAACTTCTGTATTTTTGTGTTTCTGACTTAAATCTGTACATTTTCTTTGTATATTGTTAGAGAACACGTGTCTCTGAATATCTTTGTGCAATTTACACTACTGCTACCTTTATGTTAATTTCCTTTTCCTAATGTCTTCTAAAATGAGAAAATACTGAAAATAAATGAAAGATGTGATTCAAAGCCTAACTTCTCCCGCTGCTTCTTGCTTCATTTATTCTGTTCTTTATATAGCACTGTTATAACAGTTTCCCTCTGTCACTACAACTAACCGCATTAACCTGCACTGGCAGTGCACTTATTAGTCAACCCCTGTATGTCCAGGGTGAAGATGTAACAACATGACAACACATTTTCAGAGATTAGAAACGTTGTCCTCTGACATTTAACTCAAGTATGGGTTCAAATGATTTCTATGATCAATCCAGTTTGCCCCTATAACATTAATGATTTACAAAACCCCACTTGTTTCAGCACTTTATGTTTTCAATTTGTCTCATAAATCTATTCTCAACCGTTTATTGAAAGTCCTAACTACTGGCCACTGTAGGTGGTGTGCTGCTTAAAGAAAAGGTTCACGCATTTTGAATGTTATATTGTTTTTGTGCATCTCTGAGTGATGTTCTATTGATTCCCTGGGTAATGTCATGTGTATCTGAGTTATTGGCGTTCAAGTAGGCAGAAATCCGGCCGATATGACGTATCACCATGATAAAGTTGCTCTCACTACACTGGAAGTTAATAGTAATAGGAACTTTTAGATTGTGAAAACTTCTATCATACATTTCAGATTTCAATACTGGCCGATGTCATAACTCGGGAGGATGTCTTCTCTCGAATGAGTCATTGATCATAGACACACACAGGAAGAGATTGGAATGTTATTTTTAATTAGTCAAGCTGAGAATTTCTCAGGGGGTCGAAAGGAGTTCGACTGGCTGTAACCATGGTCACCAGAAAACTAAAGCTTGAGAATTTAGAAATAGAGTGGTGCCTAGACTATGGTTTTGTTCCTCTGCTGATGTGGTATCTAGATTAGAGGCTCTGTTGTTTTTGAAAATCAGTTCAGGTTTTGAACAATCGATTACATGTTTTTTTTTAACAGAAATTCCACATTATTGTATGGTAGGCCTACTGTTATTTACCAGATCAATTTAATGCAATTCTTGATGATAATGTTCTGTTACATTGCTATCCTTTTTCAGGAGACACTACTTACCTGGATATCTTCCGAGAGTTTTCTCACATGGCCTCACACAACCCAGAGAAGCTGAAGCGGAGGAGTGTGCATTTCAGACACTCTTTCAGGTAGCCCACGGAGGGATGAGATGTCTGGGAAGTCATACTTGAAGAGTGCAACAGTCACTTTCCTGACATCATTACAGATTTGCATAGTGAATCTATCCCCCTCATATTCAGAACCTGACTTCACTAATCCTCTTAGATCCTCAACTCATAAATGTTCTTCACAAATGAGAACCACTATTGCCCTCTCCCAAATTGCCCCACTACAGGTATTATCTCTGCTGATAATCCCAATACTGCCTCACACTAAATTACTCCAATCATCATAGTGGTGAAACCACTTTTGTCAACATGCACTACAGTATATGGGAGATGCTATCAAGAATAATTGTCACTCTGTTACAAACATCTGTGGATTCTTAGATGATGTTCATGTATTACTTATTTGACAGAAGACGTTGATGCTTTCAGCAATTGGGAAGCATATTTTGTTGGAGAATGCTGTATGTTACAAATGTGTGAGATGCATATTCTGTTATCAAATCAATTATTTGTTTTGATAACTTTTTGTAATGTAGCCTGTACTTGCTTTATGAGGATTTGCTGGACTTGTCCTCTCTTATTCACCGTGTGACATTGTTTTTAAGTGTTGTTGTTCAATGTTAACTTTAGATAAATCCAAGCACTTAACAGTTTCTTATCCTGTGATCTAGATAGATGTCAGGAGTCTTTAAGCATTATACGTTTTCTTCTTTGTGTGCTCAGATCAGCTTTATTATTTTGTTCAATGTACCTGTATAGAAGGAATATAAGCATATTATTTACATTGCAAAATGTTTAGTTTTTGTGTATTCTGCTGTGTGTTTAATGCATGCCTTTGGTCCATTTATATTTCTTACACATAAACAAACTTGAATTAAGCAGCAATGCCTCCACACTATAGCCTATAGGCGTGCAGCTCACTTAGGAGAAACGGATAGGGTTGTTTACTGTGGATACCATCCAGTTCTTTGAAATGTGTTGTAATGTCAGTATTATTTTTTTAAATACATTTTGTTTTTATTCTGGAACTATATGGAAGGTGATTTTTGATTTTGACTATGCTGGTATAGTCTTCATATTTTGATAAAATGTAATGTAAAATCTCTTTATATTCATACCACTACAAATTTCAATGCAGATATTGTATATAAACGCTGTAGAGGCAAAATGCTAATATATCTGAAAGGAAAGTTATTTTGTCATGAATATTTTTGGAAGATGTATGCCTCTTGAATGCCTCTTGAAGGGTGAAAATAAAGAAAGTCTCTTAAATCTGACAATTTTTTGTTGACACAGTGGTTCGTTGCCTGACTGGCAGTTAAACAAATTACACAAGACTGATGTGTCCATATTTCTGAAACTAATTACATTTAAGGCCAGGCGCCACAGGCTGAAATGACATTTTTGCATCTACATATCAATTTTGAGATTTGTTGGAATTTTGGGCCATTAATATTAGTATTTTCAAAAAGTAAACATAAAAATGTCAAAAACTTGATGAAAATGTATATTTTCTTTAGTTCATCATACTACCGTCATCAACATTTTAATGAATTTTAACCACTTAAAATTGACATTCATCAATAATTTCAAAGCTCACTACATTAAATTACACATAATGTAAAAGCCCATTTCATAGAGAATGTTACAAACTGGAATATATTCAGTAACTTACTTTGAAGAGATGGTGATTGGTAGTTTACATTCAGTGTACTTGTCTTTAACTGCCATTTCCTGAAAAAAAATCTCAGCTTCAGAAGCATCTGCATTCACCAAATTGTGTGTGGTTATCCTTAGATATATTCTCCAGACTTGCCCAGAGGGAATTGTTGATATGTTGTCAATTCTTTATTCTAAATAACATTTATTTTTAAAACATTTGCCAAAAATGCATTTTACGTGCATGTCTTTAGTATTTTACAGATAGAAAGATGAAAAAAGTATTTATCCACAATCTGCTCTGGATAAGTCCGGTCCTGGAGTGTCTTAACAAAATTAAACCAAAATATTTAGACTGACTTCATCCAGTGTCCGGAAAAATTGATTTGTGCGATATGCAAATATGCACATATTTAATTAGATATCACCTAATTTGTATATTTTAATAGAATATTTCAGAATTCTTTTTATACCAAAAGGGATTATATTTGTGTCTATATTCAACTGGTAAAAGTATATATAATATAATTCTTGAAAAACATGACCATTGGTTGGCAGCACTCTGATGAGTTTGAGAGTCAGAAGAATGCAGCATAGAAAGACAGTTTGAGATACGAACCATGTTTCCATCCACAGTTTTTATGCCCATAAAGTCATACCATATAAAAAAAATCATGACAGCTGTGATGGAAACTGGAAGTGTCGGTACAATTTTATAAAATGCCGATGGATCATTATTTAGTTCGACATGGTGGGATCTTTTTGTGTCAGTAAAATAAATGATGCGAGAAATGGCAGAAGAAACGCCTTCATGCACATATATTGATATAGCCTAACCATCATATCAAAGTAAACTTGTGTCACGAGATGATATGTTGTGTGGTCCTCCCACTACGATTCAGGAAAGCATGCAGTTTATTACGCTACAGATGAAATAAGTTATGATGAACTTCACAGGGTGGTGAAAGTACACGGTGATGAGCTAGATGCTCCTTTCCAATAAATATTGAGGGTCTTAAACTCTTATTCTGGTGACATGATGATCAATGCTTGGCTGCCATTTGACAAATACAAATTCTCTCTCTCTTTTGCCCATAATAATCTCATCATGTAGGCTATACCCGCACTGTATCTGCGGGCTGTTGGCTAGAGCACACGACCCGCACAGGTAGAGTAATAATAACAACAAAGTCACACCGGTGTTGTGCCAGCGTGGGAGGATGTGCCTCCGTGGTTCATATAAAACCGTACATCAGAAAGATTCAGAGCGACAGGAAAGTACTGATGGTCTTCCAGGTATTCGTTGAACCATAGTTACATTCGTAACTTCCGTTCTATTTCATGCCTTTCAGGCCTTCAGTACGGTTGAAAGTATGGATGACTCATACCAACAAGGTCACGAGGAATAGAACCACTAACCTCTGATTAATGTGCCGATGCCACTGGGAGAATGGCAGACCCCATTGTGTGGCAGGATGCGACGTTGACCTTGTAAAATCTTGAGAATGTGCAGGGTGACAACCAGGTAGCAGATTAACATATCTCATTCAGGGGGACACCTCTCAGCACAGCCCAGGATATGGCCGACATTTCTGGTATAGTGACATATCACACCCTCTGGAACACGCTGGCCTACACCGTTGTAGGCCTGAGCGATGACATCCACGATCCAGTGTGAAAGCCTCTACTTGCACAATACAAGGCCTTTTGACTTCCCACTGAAGCCCAGGAAAACACCTTGTAAGAATTGGCCGATGAGGTAGTGGCCCCCTGTCGCTTTACCATCAATGCGTAAATGGTTTTCCGGTAAGGCTGTGGCATACACCTTTAAGGAAGAGGTAGAGCGACCTGAGTCCAATAGTGACTGAAGGAAGCTCAGTATGACAGGTACGGAGCAAGACACCGGGTTCTCCGCCCTGCTAGAGCTCCATTTGATAAACAGCTTCCAGCAGACATCATCCTGGTTGATAGTGCTCTGGCATTCTGTAAAGTCTCGATAATAGTCGGATCGCAGCCGATCAGTAGAGGGTCGGGCTCTTCAGAGGCTACAATCATAGCTGTAGTTGGTCTGGGCTGGGATGCCATATCCTGCGGTCCAACTGTGAGAGCAGATCTTGTCTGGGTAGCAGCTGCCATGGTTCTTCCTCCAGAAGACTGAGGAGAGTTGGAAACCTTAGCATTGCTAAGATCAGGGGTGGTCGGAGGGAAAGCATACAGCAGGCCCTGTGGCCATGTGTGGGCTAAGGCATCCATACCCAGGGGGCTGTTTGTCTCTATCAGAGAGAACCAGCGGGAGCAGTGGGATGTTTGCTCTGAGGCGAACAGGTCCATATATGCTGTTCTGAACCGCTGCCATATCATCTTCACTACTTGTGGGTGAAGTCTCCATTCCCCCGGGGGCGGTTTCTGTCGCGACAAGAAATCTGCCACCTCGTTCACCTTGCCTGGCAGATGGATGTCTCGTAGGGAGGCCAGTTGTGGTACGGCCCATGTCAGGAGTTGTTGGGCCACCTGTAGGGACCGTACAGACCTACCTCTGATCGCATCAGGACATGTTTGTGTTTGAGAACAGGCAGAAAGTGTTTCAGAGCTAGGTAAACTGTCTGATGTTCTAGCATGTTGATGTGCTCTTTCCTCCAGTGGGGGCACCACTCTACACGTACAGTCCTGTGTTGCCACACCGCTCCCCAGCATGTTAGTGAAGCATCGGTCGTCACTACTTTCTGCCTTGATGCACGCCCATCAGTTGTTGGAATGTCCATACTTTCACCAATGCTTTCAACCGGAATTGTTGCGAAGAAGCAGAATGCTGTCCACGTACTGAGGGGTTATACACGCCCTCATGGTGCGGGAGTTCAAAGTCACACCAATAAAGGTGACCTTTTGGCTTGGTGTGAAGATGCACTTTTCGTTGTTCACGGTAAGACCCAGTGCATTGACGTGGGTCAGTGCTGTGCTCTCGGCTGCACGTTTTTGAGAGGGGGCGCAGATGATCCAGTCGTCGAGGTAAGAAAGGATCTTAATCCCCTGTAGGTGGAGGAAGCTCAGGGCTGCACTCATGCATCTTGTGAAGACTGGAGGAGCCAGGGAGAGGCCGAAGGGTAATACCGCAAACTGGTATGCCTGGCCTTGGAAGGCGAACCGCAGAAAACGTCTGTGTTCATAGGGACGTGAAAGTAAGCGTCCTTTAAGTCCAGGGACGTGAACCATTCCCCTGTGGCAACGGTCTGGAGAACGTCGACCATCCGAAACATATGAAAGGGGAGAACTTTTAGGAAAACATTGAACTCTTTTTAATCCAGAACTGGACGGAAGCCTTAGTCTTTCTTCGGACCCAGGAAATACAGTTGAAGTCGGAAGTTTACATACACTTAGGTTGGAGTCATTAAAACTCGTTTTTCAACCACTCCACAAATGTCTTGTTAACAAACTATAGTTTTGGCAAATCGGTTAGGACATCTACTTTGTGCATGACACAAGTAATTTTTCCAACAATTGTTTACAGACAGATTATTTCACTTATAATTCACTGTATCACAATTCCAGTGGGTCAGAAGTTTACATACACTAAGTTGACTGTGCCTTTAAACAGCTTGGAAAATTCCAAAAAATGATGTCATGGCTTTAGAAGCTTCTGATAGGCTAATTGACATCATTTGAGTCAATTGGCGGTGTACCTGTGGATGTATTTCAAGGCCTACCTTCAAACTCAGTGCCTCTTTGCTTGACATCATGGGAAAATCAAAAGAAATCAGCCAAGACTTCAGAAGAAAACATTGTAGACCTCCACAAGTCTGGTTCATCCTTGGGAGCAATTTCCAAACGCCTGAAGGTACCACGTTCATCTGTACAAACAATAGTATGCAAGTATAAACACCATGGGACCACGCAGCCATCATACCGCTCAGGAAGGAGATGCGTTCTGTCTCCTAGAGATGGTGATCTTCCAAATGGACAATGACCCCAAGCATACTTCCAAAGTTGTGGCAAAATGGCTTAAGGACAACAAAGTCAAGGTATTGGAGTGGCTATCACAAAGCCCTGACCTCAATCCTATAGAACATTTGTGGGCAGAACTGAAAAAGCGTGTGCGAGCAAAGAGGCCTACAAACCTGACTCAGTTACATCAGCTCTGTCAGGAGGAATGGGCCAAAATTCACCCAATTTATGGTGGGAAGCTTGTGGAAGGCTACCCGAAACGTTTGACCGAAGTTAAACAGTTTAAAGGCAATGCTACCAAATACTAATTGAGTGTATGTAAACTTCTGACCTACTGGGAATGTGATGAAATAAATAAAAGCTAAAATAAATCATTATCTCTACTATTATTCTGACATTTCACATTCTTAAAATAAAGTGGTGATCATAACTGACCTAAGACAGGGAATTTTTACTAGGATTAAATGTCAGAAATTATGAAAAACTGAGTTTAAATGTATTTGGCTAAGGTGTATGTAAACTTCCGGCTTCAAAATACATCTTGAGTTCTGATACTTTTACTCTTGTGATCGCGCCCTTCTCCAGGAGAGATGTAATCTCATGGCTGAGGGTGCAAGCTTTCAGGGGGTCTGTGACTGAGGTCATTCTTACCCCTGAGAATGGTGGGGGTTGGCGTCAGAACTGCAGCCTGTACCTTTGTGAGAGGGTCATCACCATGGGTCTAAGGAGTATGATGCCCAGTATGTCAGGGGCTGCTTGTTTTTTCAATGTAGGCTTATTTATGCGAAACCCGCACAAATGGCCGTTGTTTGGTAAGCCAAGCTGACAACACACAGTGGCAGCTAGGTTGAGTTGGTAAACTAGCTACCTTGTAGCATGCTAGTAATACCAGGGGAGAGAGATGCCTGGGGGAGGCAGTTTGAATCTCACATTATATAGCTGGCTAGGCTAACAACCTGTTTCAGCATGACAATGCCCGTGTGCACAAAGCAAGGTCCATACAGAAATGGTTTGTCGAGATCGGTGTGGAAAAACTTGAATGGCCTGCACAGAGCCCTGACCTCAACTCCATCGAACACCTTTGGGATGAATTGGAACGCCGACTGGGAGCCAGGCCTAATCGCCCAACATCAGTGCCCGACCTCACTAATGCTCTTGTGGCTGAATGGAAGCAAGTCCCCGCAGCAATGTTCCAACATCTAGTGGAAAGCCTTCCCAGAAGAGTGGAGGCTGTTATAGCAGCAAAGGGGGGACCAACTCCATATTAATGCCCATGATTTCATGTAGTGTATCTTTGCAAATCGAAATAAGAGACAAGGTCTGACCTAAGGTTTTATATGAACCCTGGCACATCCTCCCACGCTGTCACATCACCGGCATGACTTTGTTGTTATTATTATTACTCGACCTGCGAGGAGTGTGAGGGATATATGCCGCGTTCAAAACAATTAGGAACTCAGAACTGGGAACCGACTTCCGACTTTAGTGCGTTCACAATAATTGGGAATTCTGAAAAATTTGAGCTCCGACTGGGAAAATCTATTTGAATAGTCATCCAACTCAAACTCGAGAACTCGGGCCTCTTTCTAGAGCAACGACTTTCCAACCTGAAGATCACTGACCTCATGATTTGACCTCGTAATCCATAATTTCAACCATACTGACGGTCTGAAAGGTTTGAAGTAGAACCGACATGTAAATTGCTTTACGCACATACAAAAGATGGACACCTGAGGAACATCAGAGCATGTGCGCAGCGTGTAACAAAGGCGACACCTCGTGCTTTGGCAAATATTTAGAGAAAGATTTGATTTGATTTGATTTGGTCTCTAAAAAATGTTGGCTTGTATTTTGAAGGTTTCGTCATTACCATACATAGTGACGTCATCATTTGTGCTGCTGGCATAATAATACTAGTGATGGATCATGGTCTGTCCTGCTGTTTTTGGAGTCAGTTTGTCATTTTCTAGCTAGCTAGGTACCTCCAAATTATATGATGTCGTGTGATATCTCCATAGCTAATGTTATTATGATGTCGCGTCAGAGGAGAGATCTCGAGGGGAGATCTTCTGCGTGAAGCTCGCGGTAGCTGCAGCTAGCTAGCACTTCATTGAACCAAAAACAATGTGGCCTGCTATTTTGGGAAAACGATCGGAACTGCAGGACTAAACCAAACACAGGTGACAGGTTTTGCATTATGTTATTTTCCGGTTGTTGACAACCAGTTTTCACTAACAGCTAGCTAGCTATAACGTTAGCTTTCTCCTAAGCTGCCTGGCTGCTGCTTTGTTCCGCAATAACATGGCTGACGCCGCTAGCAGGACAATGATGATACGCTACAGTTTTGCAAATGTAGCTCACTTGGTATGAGTTGTCAAGCTGATTAATTTAAATTGATTTCAACTGTTTGATCTATATCAACAATGTAAGACAACTAGCGAGTTAACACCAGCTGTCACTTTATGGTGATTTCACCGTGTGGTTCAGTTGGTAGAGCATGACGCTTGCAACGCCAGAGTTGTGGGTTCGATTCCCACGGGGGACCAGTATTAAAAATGAATGCACTCACTACTGTAAGTTGCTCTGGATAAGAGCGTCTGCTAAATGACTTAAATGTAAAAATGCAATCATCTCTATTTGCCTCCCATTTTGTGTAGACATGGCTTCCGAGCTCCAGGTGTTCTCCTCTCCCTCAATCTCCTCCAGCGCCTACACTCGCTCCAAGAAACTGAAGGTAGAGAACAGTGTGTGGGATGTGAACAGCCAGGTGGGAGACAACAACAACAACAGTTACTACCAGCAGCAGGTCTCCAGCCAGGGCAATGGAAACACATCCTCCCCCTCTGCATCAAGTTTCAACCCAGCATACAACTTCTCCAACTCCAACCGGGGGTATCCATCAACGGGGGCAGGCTCCCGGGAGCTGACGGTCGTACGGGCGGCAGACAGCACCGGCAGCGTCCGAGGACCCCCTTCCTCTTCATCTTCCTCCTCCTCCACCAGTTGCCTTGTCAAAGATGCTGCATACTCCTCCCAGCCAGGCGACCTATACCAAAAGCAGTACGGTAACAGCGTGAAGAGGAAGAGTGAGGAGGTGGACAGCAGTGACAGTGTTCAGATCCTGGAGGAGCTCTCTGCCCCTGTGCTCTCCAACCGCACAGCCGCTGGTGGGGGAACCACCACAGCCCAGTCCATAGCACATTCCACCTCCACCACAAAGAGTAGTAACTCTCACAGTGAAGGGGACTACCAGCTAGTGCAGCATGAGATCCTGTGCTCTGTGACCAACAGTTATGAGGTGCTGGAGTTTCTAGGGAGAGGTACATTTGGTCAGGTGGCTAAATGCTGGAAGCGTGGCACTAATGAGATTGTGGCCATCAAGATCTTGAAGAATCATCCCTCATATGTCCGGCAAGGTCAAATTGAGGTTAGTGTTGTATCACTAAGCAAAAGTGACTTTCTTGTAAGCTTGAACCAAATCAATAAGGATATCTGGTCAGAGCTTCAATTGAATTTGTCAATTGTAACAATACCATGCATACGTACATTTTGTAAAAGTTTGGGGAGGAGAAATAATAATAATGTAACATCTATCTGCCCTTCTCCACTCTCCAGGTGAGTATCCTGAGCAGACTGAGCACTGAGAATGCTGACGAGTTCAACTTTGTGCGTTCCTACGAGTGTTTCCAACACAAGAACCACACCTGCCTGGTGTTTGAGATGCTGGAGCAGAACCTCTATGACTTCCTGAAACACAGCAAGTTCAGTCCGCTGCTACTCAAGTCCATCCGGCCTGTGCTGCAGCAGGTACGATACAGTACAACATATGCTTTATTATCCATATGGGGAAAATAGTCTTGAACACTTTTTCAGTACTGCTGACTGTATGCAAAATAACACAATACATTTTGCATTACCCACTAGACACATACACTGATACACAATACATATATTGCACGTTACCCATATCATACACATATTGTACAGCCACATACATAATATATAGACTCTCCTATGTATTTATTTGGACAGTGAAGCTACAACTTTTAATTTGGCTCTATACTCCAGTACAGAATGTCACCCATTTATTTTTGAGGATATTTTAATATCTGTTTTACTGTCTAAAAATGAATGCACTTTATGTATCTAGTCCCCCCATTTGAAGGTGTCATAAGTATTTGGACAAGTTCACTTATAGTGTATTATATTTAGTCAGAAGTTTAGTATATGGTCCCATATTCCTGGCACGAAATGACTACATCAAGCTTGTGACTCTACAAACTTGTTGTATGCATTTGCAATTCATCCATAATCATGGTAGCATCCACATTAATGTAGAAGTGTTCAGAAATACATTGTATTCTTATTTACAATATGTGACTCTGAAATGACACTGCATTATTTACTTTTCATTTCTATTGGGCACAACATAATCTGAAACACAACCAAAACAAACAGCAAAAGCATCCACAAGTTTGTAGGCACAAGCTTGATGTAGTCATTGCAAGATAGGAATATGGGACCAAATACTAAACTTTTGACTAAATGTAATACACTATAAGTGAATTTGTCCAAATACGTATGACACCTTCAAATGGGGGTACTAGATATATAAAGTGCATTCAATTCTAAACGGTTAAACAGATATGTATGAAAATACGCTCAAATAAAAGGTGACATTCTGTACTGTGCCTCATATAAAACATTTGATCTCAAATCCAAGATGCTGGAGTATAGAGCCAAATTAAAAGTTTTAGCTTCACTGTCCAAATAAATACGTAGGGGAGTGTATATTTTACATTGCCTCGTGTGTCATCAGGTGGCCACGGCCCTGATGAAGCTGAAGAGCCTAGGTCTGATCCATGCTGACCTGAAGCCAGAGAACATCATGCTGGTAGATCCTCTCAGACAGCCCTACAGGGTCAAGGTCATCGACTTCGGCTCTGCCAGCCACGTCTCCAAGGCAGTGTGTTCCACCTACCTGCAGTCCCGCTACTACCGGTGAGTGTCTGACTGTCTCATGGTGAGGTACAAGCATCGAAATATCATTACTGGAACGAGCAAAGCCCCTCAGACCACTGCAATTTACTTAAATGGGGGATGCTAGTTTTAGCAATTATATTTCTATGGGCACAATCTGGACAAGTCCCAGTAGCCATGGAGGATGTATTGCAGGCTCAGTGTGCTACTATGGACATGTCCAATGGTTTGTGTGTGTTATTTATTATTATTATTACAGGGCGCCAGAGATCATCCTGGGCCTTCCCTTCTGTGAAGCGATCGACATGTGGTCTCTGGGCTGTGTCATTGCTGAACTGTTCTTGGGTTGGCCTCTTTATCCTGGTGCCTCAGAGTATGGTCAGGTCAGCAGCAACTCTTCTACCTTCAGTGAGACAATACACTGTCATCCATCATTGACATGTATTTGTTTCTTTCATTTTGTAGTAATACAGTATTATATTTTATCTAGCATTTTATACAGTATTGTCTTTAATACAATGTGTGTTTGTGCCCTGTCTCTGATTTGCGTTTCCCTTGGCTGCATCAGATCCGGTACATTTCCCAGACCCAGGGCCTGCCTGCTGAGTACCTCCTGAGTGCAGGCACAAAGACCAGCCGCTTCTTCAACAGAGGCCCTGACTCCAGCTACCCCCTCTGGAGGCTCAAGGTACAGTATGTGGCAACAGAACATCTCCGGGTTTTTGATATGTGCATATTTTATTCATGAGTGTAGCTAGGCCTATATTATACAGTATTTTTGGTAGCATGTTATTACTAGTTGTAACTAGTTTCCACTTTATTACCATATTATTACCCCCTTATTCTGTGCAGTAATGTAAAGTGCTACTGTACGTAATAGTTTTCTGCTGTATTTTGTTTTTGTCTGTAGACACCTTCAGAGCATGAGGCAGAGCTGGGGATAAAGTCAAAGGAGGCGAGGAAATACATTTTCAACTGTTTGGATGATATGATGCAGGTGAGGGTGAACAGGTTACCATTCATTCTATTAAATCCCTCACTCCTGTCATTGATGTCTTAATGTTTTTGTATTATTCTTATAAATTGGTTTGTTTCATATCATAAATGTATTTGATTTCTTCAGAGGAGACTTAATATTTAAATGTTTACATTTTAGTCATTTAGCAGACAATCTTAGCCAGAGAAACCAACTTTCTGTGTGCTGTTGCAGGTGAACATGACTAGTCTGGTGGGGACTGACGTCCTGGCAGAGAAGGCTGACCGGAGAGAGTTTATTGATCTGCTAAAGAAGATGCTGACGCTGGACGCAGACAAACGCATCACCCCCATGAAGACCCTCAACCACCCCTTCGTCACCATGACACACCTGCTGCACTTCCCTCACAGCTCACAGTAAGTAGAGGATAGTCAGGACTATTGTATTGTGGCATTTATTTCAAATGCAATTTATAGGATGAGTACAAATGGGTTCGTTTCCCACGGGGGGCCAGTATGAAAATGTATGCACTCACTAACTGTAAGTCGCTCAGGATAAGAGTGTCTGCTAAATGACTAAAATGTAAATGTAACCTTGTAAGCTACCTAGGTATAACTAACTAGCTAGCATATTATTGACCTAAAAGGTTAGCTGTGTTAGCCCAGTCGCTATCTTATCCAGGGTCAGTGATACATACTTAGAGCAACCATGTGCTGTCTATCTATGGGAACTGCAATAATTTTGATAAACATTGCTAGAATGAATGAAATAAAATGAACCTCATAAAATGTTACCTGAAATGCTAATCTCCTGTAGTCTAATTGTCATCTCCTTATTTTCATCCTGTACCTAAATTACAAGGGTTGGATATGCGCAAAATTGTATATGTTAGCACTTAAAAGGCATGTACAAAATATCAAGTTTCAGGAGAAGACCCAGATGTTTGACAGTGTCGAAGCAACAAAAATGTACACTGCTCAAAAAAGGGAACACTAAAATAACACATCCTAGAACTGAATGAATGAAATAATCTTATTAAATACTTTTTTCTTTACATAGTTGAATGTGCTGACAACAAAATCACACAAAAATTATCAATGGAAATCAAATTTATCAACCCATGGAGGTCTGGAGTTGTCGTCACCCTCAAAATTAAAGTGGAAAACCACACTACAGGCTGATCCAACTTTGATGTAATGTCCTTAAAACAAGTCAATGAGGCTCAGTAGTGTGTGTGGCCTCCACGTGCCTGTATGACCTCCCTACAACGACTGGGCATGCTCCTGATGAGGTGGCGGATGGTCTCCTGAGGGATCTCCTCCCAGACCTGGACTAAAGCATCCGCCAACTCCTGGACAGTCTGTGGTGCAACGTGGCGTTGGTGGATGGAGCGAGACATGATGTCCCAGATGTGCTCAATTAGATTCAGGTCTGGGGAACGGGCGGTCCATAGCATCAATGCCTTCCTCTTGCAGGAACTGCTGACACACTCCAGCCACATGAGGTCAAGCATTGTCTTGCATTAGGAGGAACCCAGGGCCAACCGCACCAGCATATGGTCTCACAAGGGGTCTGAGGATCTCATATCGATACCTAATGGCAATCAGGCTACCTCTGGCGAGCACATTGAGGGCTGTGCGTCCCCCCAAAGAAATGCCACCCCACACCATGACTGACCCACCGCCAAACCGGTCATGCTGGAGGATGTTGCAGGCAGCAGAACGTTCTCCACGGCGTCTCCAGACTCTGTCACGTCTGTCACGTGCTGTGTGAACCTGCTTTCATCTGTGAAGAGCACAGGGCGCCAGTGGCGAATTTGCCAATCTTGGTGTTCTCTGGCAAATGCCAAACGTCCTGCACGGTGTTGGGCTATAAGCACAACCCCCACCTGTGGACGTCGGGCCCTCATACCACCCTCATGGAGTCTGTTTCTGACCGTTTGAGCAGACACATGCACATTTGTGGCCTGCTGGAGGTCATTTTGCAGGGCTCTGAAAGTGCTCCTCCTTGCACAAAGGCGGAGGTAGCAGTCCTGCTGCTGGGTTGTTGCCCTCCTACGGCCTCCTCCACGTCTCCTGATGTACTGGCCTGTCTCCTGGTAGCACCTCCATGCTCTGGACACTACGCTGACAGACACAGCAAACCTTCTTGCCACAGCTCGCATTGATGTGCCATCCTGGATGAGCTGCACTACCTGAGCCACTTGTGTGGGTTGTAGACTCCGTCTCATGCTACCACTAGAGTGAAAGCACCGCCAGCATTCAAAAGTGACCAAAACATCAGCCAGGAAGCATAGGAACTGAGAAGTGGTCTGTGGTCACCACCTGCAGAACCATTTCTTTATTGGGGGTGTCTTGCTAATTGCCTATAATTTCCACCTGTTGTCTATTCCATTTGCACAACAGTATGTGAAATGTATTGTCAATCAGTGTTGCTTCCTAAGTGGACAGTTTGATTTCACAGAAGTGTGATTGACTTGGAGTTACATTGTGTTGTTTAAGTGTTCCCTTTATTTTTTTGAGCAGTGTATTACAAAAACAGAGGGCAGGCAAACGACAGGTCAAGGGCAGGCAGAGGTCAGTAATCCATATCAGAGTCCAAAAGTATAGAACGGCAGGCAGTCTTAGGGTCAGGGCAGGCAGAGGTTAATAATCCAGGGTGGTGTGACAAGGTACAGAACGGCAGGCTCAGGGTCAGGGCAGGCAGAATGGTCAAAACCGGGAAAACTAGAAAACAGGAACTGGAGAAAGACAGGAGCAAGGGGAAAAACGCTGGTAGACAAACAGAGAACACAGGTATAAATACACTGGGGATATTGGGGAAGATGGGCGACACCTGGAGTGGGTGGAGACAATCACAAAGACAGGTGAAACAGATCAGGGTGTGACACAAAATCTGGTATATGCTTTGCGTCATATACATTGTCAACTGGTATCATTTTCAGTTGAGAACATACACTGAGTGTATAAAACATTAAGAACACCTTCCTAATATTGAGTTGTACCCCCTCGCCCTTTTGCCCTCAGAACAGCCTCAATTCGTCGGGGCATGGACAAATACGAGGTGTCAAAAGCGTTCCACAGGGATGCTGGCCCATGTTGACTCCAATGCTTCCCACAGTTGTGTCAAGTTGGCTGGATGTCCTTTGGGTGGTGGGCTATTCTTGATACACACGGGAAACTGTTGAGCGTGTAAAACCCAACAGCGTTGCAGTTCTTGAAGCAAACCGTTGTGCCTGACACCTACTACCATACCCTGTTCAAAGGCACTTCAATCTTTTGTCTTGTCCCATACACCCTCTGAATGGCACACATAAACAATCCATGTCTCAAGGCTTAAAAATCCTTCTTTAACCCGTCCCCTCCCCTTTATCTTCACTGATTTGAAGTGGATTTAACAAGTGACATCAATAAGGGATCATAGCTTTCACCTGCTCAGCCTATGCTATGGAAAGAGAAGGTGTCCTTAATGTTTTGTATACTCAGTGTATAGCTCAACATGTAAACAATATGTGAGTTTAGCTATTCTCTGCTTTAGATGACATACAGTGGGGAGAACAAGTATTTGATACACTGCCGATTTTGCAGGTTTTCCTACTTACAAAGCATGTAGAGGTCTGTAATTTTTATCATAGGTACACTTCAACTGTGAGAGACGGAATCTAAAACAAAAATCCAGAAAATTACATTGTATGATTTTTAAGTAATTAATTTGCATTTTATTGCATGACATAAGTATTTGATCACCTACCAACCAGTAAGAATTCCGGCTCTCACAGACCTGTTAGTTTTTCTTTAAGAAGCCCTCCTGTTCTCCACTCATTACCTGTATTAACTGCACCTGTTTGAACTCGTTACCTGTATAAAAGACACCTGTCCACACACTCAATCAAACAGACTCCAACCTCTCCACAATGGCCAAGACCAGAGAGCTGTGTAAGGACATCAGGGATAAAATTGTAGACCTGCACAAGGCTGGGATGGGCTACAGGACAATAGGCAAACAGCTTGGTGAGAAGGCAACAACTGTTGGCGCAATTATTAGAAAATGGAAGAAGTTCAAGATGACGGTCAATCACCCTCGGTCTGGGGCTCCATGCAAGATCTCACCTCGTGGGGCATCAATGATCATGAGGAAGGTGAGGGATCAGCCCAGAACTACACGGCAGGACCTGGTCAATGACCTGAAGAGAGCTGGGACCACAGTCTCAAAGAAAACCATTAGTAACACACTACGCCGTCATGGATTAAAATCCTGCAGCGCACGCAAGGTCCCCCTGCTCAAGCCAGCGCATGTCCAGGCCCGTCTGAAGTTTGCCAATGACCATCTGGATGATCCAGAGAAGGAATGGGAAAAGGTCATGTGGTCTGATGAGACAAAAATAGAGCTTTTTGGTCTAAACTCCACTCGCCGTGTTTGGAGGAAGAAGAAGGATGAGTACAACCCCAAGAACACCATCCCAACAGTGAAGCATGGAGGTGGAAACATAATTATTTGGGGATGCTTTTCTGCAAAGGGGACAGGACGACTGCACCGTATTGAGGGGAGGATGGATGGGGCCATGTATCGCGAGATCTTGGCCAACAACCTCCTTCCCTCAGTAAGAGCATTGAAGATGGGTCGTGGCTGGGTCTTCCAGCATGACAACGACCCGAAACACACAGCCAGGGCAACTAAGGAGTGGCTCCGTAAGAAGCATCTCAAGGTCCTGGAGTGGCCTAGCCAGTCTCCAGACCTGATCCCAATAGAAAATCTTTGGAGGGAGCTGAAAGTCCGTATTGCCCAGCGACAGCCCCGAAACCTGAAGGATCTGGAGAAGGTCTGTATGCAGGAGTGGGCCAAAATCCCTGCTGCAGTGTGTGCAAACCTGGTCAAGACCTACAGGAAACGTATGATCTCTGTAATTGCAAACAAAGGTTGCTGTACCAAATATTAAGTTATGCTTTTTTGATGTATCAAATACCTATGTCATGCAATAAAATGCAAATTAATTACATAAAAATCATACAATGTGATTTTTTGGATTTTTGTTTTAGATTCCGTCTCTCACAGTTGAGGTGTACCTATGATAAATATTACAGACCTCTACATGCTTTGTAAGTAGGAAAACCTGCAAAATCGGCAGTGTATCAAATACTTGTTCTCCCCACCTGTATGCTGAGCACTTGTTGGCTGCTTTTCCTTCACTCTGCGGTCCGACTCATCCCAAACCATCTCAATTGGGTTGAAGTCGGGGGATTGTGGAGGCCAGGTCATCTAATGCAGCACTCCATCACTCTCCTTCTTGGTAAAATAGCCCTTACACAGCCTGGAGGTGTGTTGTGTCATGTCCTGTTGAAAAACAAATGATAGTCCCACTAAGCCCAAACCAGATGGGATGGCATATCACTGCAGAATGCTGTGGTAGCCATGCTGGTTAAGTGTGCCTTGAATAAATCACAGACAGTGTCACCAGCAAAGCACCATCACACCTCCTCCTCCATGCTTTACAGTGGGAAATACTTATGCAGAGATCGTCCGTTCACCTACTCTGCGTCTCACAAAGACACGGCGGTTGGAACCAGAAATCTCACATTTGGACTCATCAGACCAAAGGGACACATTTCCACCGGTCTAATGTCCATTGCTCATGTTTCTTGGTCCAAGCAACTCTCTTCTTCTTATTGGTGTCCTTTAGTAGTGGTTTCTTTGCAGCAATTTGACCATGAAGGCATGATTCACACGGTCTCCTCTGAACAGTTGATGTTGAGATGTGTCTGTTACTTGAACACTGAAGCATTTATTTGGGCTGCAATTTCTGAGGCTGGTAACTCTAATGAACATATCCTCTGCAGCAGAGGTAACTCTGGGTCTTCTATTCCTGTGGTGGTCCTCATGAGAGCCAGTTTCATCATAGCGCTTGATGGTTTTTGCGACTGCACTTGAAGAAACTTTCAAAGTTCTTGTCATTTTCCGTATTGACTGATCTTGATGTCTTAAAGTAATAATTCTATTCAATCGTTTCTATTTGCTTATTTGAGCTGTTCTTGCCATAATATGGACTTGGATTTCAGCTAATGGACTTGGATTTCAGCTAATAGAAATGTGGGTACATTTGTGGACAACATTCTAACTTACTCAACCTTTAAATTAAGTTCTATTTGATTTAATATAAAAAATTTTGGCATAGAGCCCTTACACACAATAGCCCAGGATTACGACAGCGTTGCAAATATCCTTGTTTTTCTCTTTTATTATTTTTTAGGCCTCTCCTCTGTTTACCTTGCTCATTTAGAGTGCCTTGATAATTCTTCTTCTTTTTCAGTGTGAAGTCATGCTTCCAGAACATGGACATATGCAAGCGCAGGGTCAGCGCTTTCGAGAGTGGAAAGAATCTGTTTTCTAGCAACAACACCCCCAGTGCAGCTACAAACCTCACTGTTACATTTAGCAGCCAGCTCAACCAGCACAACCAGGTGAGAAGCTAATACCTTGTATTGTCAGACTTTCTCAGGATGTCCTTTCAGCGCGTAAATAAAGTGTGACATTTCACAACACATAGTGATGAATGGTTGGTTATGTCATGTTATCCCCACCATGTCAGATGGCGTCCACCGGTGGCCAGTCACTGTCAGTGAGCAGCAACGTCCCTCTGCTGAACTACCAGCCGGGCCTGTACCAGCAGGCTACTATCAACATCCCAGGTCTCCCCCAGCAGAGTGTCCCTCTGCAGACCAGACCCACCCAGCTGTGTGGCCAGGCTGAGCCCTTCCAGCAGACTCTCATCGTCTGCCCACCCACCATCCAGGGTGAGCCGAGCAGAGAAGGAACTGTATGGAGCAGGGTTACAGTGTTATAACAATAGTTTGTTTGCCTCTCTTGCTGCACTTGTATGAAGACCAAATTCATGTCGCAGCTAAGTAAATCTGTTGTAATGTGGGAGATAACTTTCAGTAATTCATGTTGCTGTAGACTTATGTGATGTATTAACACAGGATGATCTGAACTTCATAATGTTGATGTTGCCCAATTGTCCTAAGTTAGCTGTAATGTCTGTAATCTGCTTCTGCAAAGCTGTATATTCATTACATTAACTAATCTACCTCCTTCATTTCTTCGTAGGCCTCCAGACGTCCAGTAAACACTCTGGGTTCCCAGTGAGGATGGATAACTCTGTTCCCATGGTGCCCCAGAACCAGTCCACTCAGCCTCTACATCTCCAGCCTGGAATGCTCACACAGGTACAGTAAGACTAAGTGCTGCATGACCACCAACCCACAACCTGACACCATGTTTGGAATCCAATGAATAACTTGGGTGTATCTCACCAGAATAAAGACAGGATTCTTCACAACGTGTTAAACCTGTTTAACGTCCTCTCCTTTCTTTGGGAATCAATCTCAGACTCTGGTGAAAGGATGTGGCGATCAGGTCTGTCCCCCCTGGCTAGTTATCTAACCCCTACACCCCTCCCTCAAACCTCCTCCCCACCAGGCCTCCTGCAATCCATTGATGGTAGCCACTCTGCACGCCCCTGTGGCAGGAATGGCCCCTCTGTATTCGCTGCCCCTGGGCTGTGGGGCTGGAAGGCCTGGCCTGCTGGATCAGAGCCCCACCATGCTGGTAAAGCACCAACACCACTCCTGCTACCCCCTGTTGCCCCTGTCTCCCCTGTACCCCTTTCTCCCCCTGACACATTTCAGGGGTGTGCAGAGCATGGGACGCATGTGCTGCTGCTTACTATAGTCTGCGCTTTTGCTTGCAGCGTCTCATCTCTCCCTTTCTCTTCCCCTTCCATTATGATACAGGGACAGCTGATGTTTCCGGAAGTCTTGCTGTAAATTTGCCCTTCATCACTGCAACCTTGGGAACCTGCTGTTGATTCAAAGTATTAATGCCGTTGCTTTGTCTTGGAATTGTGCAGCAGGCACGAGAAATGCCAGCTTCGATGCTGCCCCTTGATTATCTGTTATGTTTCTCTTAACATATTCCTCTGAGTTCCAGGTCTTAAACCAGTGTTTGAATGGACCTTCTCAGTTCTACAGGACTACCTTCCAGGGCATGTCTGCTTGGCTTGAGAGCATGAACTGTTTTCTCTTCCTGCCAGTTGGAGTTCCCGTTTTAATGGTGTTTTGATTTCAATCCTATTTCCCTCCTCAGCAGTAACTATTGTTCAGGTTATGCTTTGGAAGTCCGAGGAACAGAGACCAGTCATTGGATGTTTTTTTTTCTTCTTCTTCATTGTATCTTTCTCTTCTGAATTTGAGCTTGACTCAGTGGGGGCATGCTGGATGCCTATATCTTTTCATGTGTGACAGTAGGAGACACCGAATCATGTCTGTCTACAAACTGCATGTGCTCGTCATGCACCTGCATTCTGTGGTGGTCTGACTGTCATACAAACATTTAGCACAGCGTTTTTCTATTTCCCTTAAAACAGACTGTTCAACAGTGTCTGTTTTTGTTTTTGTCTGTGCATGTGTGTGTACAGCAGGGCTGGCCAGCAGGGACCCAGCAGATCCTCATCCCCTCCACATGGCAGCAGATGCCAGGCATGGCCCTTCACAACCCCAGCCAGAACCAGACACTGGTCCCTGACTCTCCCATGGGAGCCCCCCTCTCTGGGGGAGACCGCTCAGGACAACAGGCCTCACATCGGAGGTGAGTCCTGCAGTGCTGTCCCTCTGGGCTCAGTCACTAAGGCCATATCACTGACCAAACAGCAGAAAGTTAGAGGAATCAGAGGAAGCCCATTTTATATTTATGCTATTTTCTTGTATCTAGGTTACAGTATGTGGAGACATTAGTTGGTTCAAATAATAACTGCCCACTTATGCCATTGTGTTGTACTGATTCCAATATGCTAGGAAAGCTAATTACAACTTGTTGTGATGCCAGGGGTCGTCATGGCAGCCATTACGATGGCATCACGCAGCAGGACCTTGCACTGGGGCGTCAAGCACCCACGGCCCCCTCCCAAGCAAGATCCCAGCAGGGGAAAAGGTCTAAGGCTCGACATACCGACAGTAGGGCCAGGTAACTTTCAAACCAATGGCCATGTCCCAAAATACACACTTTATTCATTCATACACTTGTATACTGTATGGTTCCCTTCCTCACCATGTATGTGATTTATTTGAATCCGTGAGAGCTTTATGATTGACCACTTTCAAATCAAAGCAAACTTTTTTTTAAAGTACATTGAAACTCAGTATGCTTTACATTAAAAAGGAGTGTTGCCCCTTTGCAGGCCTGTGTTGTCGCTGGAGCCAGCTGCCTCTGTGGTCTACAATACCCCTCTGCCTGCCTTCAGTAGTGATCCAATCGTCATCTCCGATACTCCCAGCCCTGCTGCCAGCATTATCACCATCCACAGTGACACAGAGGACGAGGATGACAGGAAGTTCCCTGCTGCCAGGTGAGGTCACATCCTGTGTATTCTCATGAAAGCACCTAATGTGTGAATTCATGAGAGAGACTGCTGTTTTATTGAGTAGCTGAAACCAGCACTGTGGATGACCCTGGCTTTCAACCCCTTGTCTTGTGTCTCTCAAGGGGTTGGGTTGAACGCAAAATATGAATATCTGTGTTCTGAAATGAAAATGTGAGTGTTCTTTCTCTTTTCCGTCACAGCTCTGGTGCTAACCAGCGGGCCAATGTGATCAGCTGTGTGACGGTCCACGACTCGCATGACTCTGACTCGTCCATCAGCAGTCCCCTGAGCCCCAAGCACCTTGCCACCAACTCCTCCTCGTCCCAGACCACCTCCAAGTCCCTGGCCATCATCCTGCCCTCAGTGAAGAGTCAGCCTGGGGAGAGCGGGGCCCACAAATCAGGTTAGCACACACCTCCAGGCTAGTGTTTCCCCTACCATTGTAAAGGTGGGGCGGCCTCTAGCTTTGTTGTTTTGGGAACTTTTGTGCATCACCTGCAACTTCTCACACTAAACTATTCTCTCAGCACTAAGTATGTGGTATTTGTTTCTCAGATCAACATGCTAATGTCTCTGGTAAGTCCAAGAAGGGGACAGCTCAGCAGTCCAGCAGGGCAGGAGGGGCCACAACTAGCAGATCTCAACCTCTCAACCTGAGTCAGGTATAAAGCAATATGGTTGACCTCAGTTGTCATGTCTTATTGTTTTTGTTTATCCTCTTTTTATTTCAAGTTTAGTCTCGGAGGCAGAAAGTATCTAAATGCGAGTAGCATAATACAATGTGCCATTATATTCCTCCCCAGGTACAGCAGTCTGTGATGTCATCGTCACAAGACAGAACAGGAGGCAACAGCAGCTCCTTGCGTCGTCAGCCCACCTACCCTCCTCCAGTCTCCTCCCACTCCTACCGCCTGCAAGAAGCTGCCTCCATCTTCACCTCTACCCCTAACTTGTACGCCTATCCTGCCTCTGCCGCCCTGGCCTCTGTCTCCCAGGCCGTGGACCAGCTCCAAGCCGGGGGCTCTTCTCGACACACCCGGCCCAGCGGGCCCTACTCCTCCCTGGGGCTCCTTCATGCCCAGGGACAGTACCACCACCAGCAGCTGGCGGCCCAGCCTTACCCCGTCCCCCGGTCCAGCGCAGCAGCCTACCAGCTCAGCCAGAGGAAGCTCAGTCAGTACCCCTACCTGTGAGGAATAGAGGCTGCCATAGAAATAGAATCCCATAGAAAAATCATATAATAGAATCCCATAGATTATATTTCTGTGGAAAGAACAGCTATCTAGCCCAGCGGAAGACCAAATGGAGACCAAGATCATAAAGGTGCACCTCTGCACAAGTTTAGCACAGGAACTATTATACTTAAATACCACTGATATTTTTAAATGTGCAATTTAGTAAGGCCTCGTTTTGAATTATTTTAACAGCTTTGTTCGCAATGTCCTGATTTCAGAGACTGCTTTAAAGTGGTAAATATTTGTTTAAATGAAACACACTTATGTGCAGAAAAGTCCTTAAACATTTCTCCTATGTAAAGCCAGTATTTAGTTTTTTAAATATCTTTGTTTTTAAAATATGAAGCTTATAAAAGCACTAACCATGTGTCCTTCATGTTGTTATCATGGCATTTTATTTCCATGTACTGCAGCTAATCAAATTGTACTAGAATTATAAGACAGTTCCTTTTATTTATTTGCTTTTATCATTATTTTGAATGTGTCTGCATATTGCAAATAACTCTGAACAGAGTTTCTCTGTTTGTGTTTTACGTGTCTGTTTAAAAGAATACAGATAAAATAATGAGTTTGTCGACTAAATGTGTCACCTTATCTGAAACACTCCCCTACACATGTACACTCCTCTACGTATTTATTTAGACAGAGAAGCTAAAACTTTTACTTTGGCTCTATACTCCAGCATTTTGGATTTGAGATCAAATGTTTTATATGAGGCGACAGTACAGAATGTCACCAGGGTATTTTCATACATATGTTTTACTGTTTAGAAATGAATGCACTTTATGTATCTAGTCCTCCCCCCATTTGAAGATATCATAAGTGTATTACATTTAGTCAAGTTTAGTATTTGGTCCCATATTCCTGGCATGCAATGACTACATCAACCTTGAATGCATTTGCAGTTTGTTTTGGTTATGTTGTGCCACCAATAGAAATGAATGGTAAATAATGTATTGTGCCTTTTTTGTCACTTTTATTGTAAATAGAAAGTTTCTGAACAATTCTACATTAATATAGTTGCTACCGTGATTAAGGATAAGCATTAATTAATTGTGAATAATGATGAGTGAAGTTTAGAGGCATAAAATCATACTGTTATTGGTAATTGTGAGAGGTTAGCATGTTTTGGGGTCATTATTTTTGTCCAAATACTTATGACGCCTTCAAATGGGAGGACTAGACATATAAAGTGCTCTCATTTCTAAATGGAAAAACAGATGTATGAAAATACTCAAATAAAGTAACATTCTGTAACTGTCGCCTGATATGTAAAATTGTATCTCAAATCCAAAATGCTAGAGAATAGAGCCATATTAAAAGTGTCAGCTTCACTGTCCAAATAAATACGTAGAGGAGTGTATTTTCTCCAGCATGTCACCGAAGCGCTTGTCAAAGGCCCTTGACTTTAACCAGACTCTGCTCAGATTCCACACACCAATCACATATTCATATCATCACCACTTTAGGCCTATTGGTAGGCTCCTCTAACCTGGTTAAGCTTACTCTTGGACTTAAAAGTGACTTAAAAGTATGTTCAATGGAGAATCTCCACATGCCTCTTAGTCCAGGAATATGTTTACCGTAATCTGGGTCCGGGAAACCGGCCCTATGTATTTAAGTAATTCTTAAGGATGCATGTGTCTGATGTGGAGTAGCATTTAAGAGGGTGTTTAGTAGGCTGCCTAGGCCTAATAAAAAGTAAATAGTGTTGCTGACGGTTGGGATCTTGTCATGTGGAGTGATGGTGTATGTGAATTTGTTAAATGGGTAAAGTACAAATCCAATTGGTTATCTCACACTAAGTAACCCCAGTCCATTAGACTGCATTGCAAATGGTGATATTCACAGTCAATCTTGAAGTCATTTGGTGAATTGTGTTGAATCTGATGGTGATTCATGACTATATGAATAGCTGTTGGGAATAAGAGTGAATGGTTTTGGTGACATGGTCGTTAATACAATCTTACTATTATAATGTGAAGTGCTACATAGAACACACTTTAATCAATAAAATGTTTTTTAAAAGATGTATATTGTGGACTGTATTATTGCCAACTGGACAATCCCAAATTCCCCCCAAAATACACTATCCATGTAGTCTCAAAATATATTTTTATTTTGATCTGATCAGTGCAAAATACTTTTTGTTGATAAGCAAAGGGCAATGAAAATATAGTATAGAATCTATACTTTCATACAAAACAGCTCTATAGATTGAAGCAGATCATTTTATCTGTGTCCGGTTGGCCCTGGCTGATCCGGCTTGTTCACTTCCTCCCAAATGCTGATCAGATCGGCTAGGAAGGTCTGGATCTGTCAAACAAGAACAGTCAAATAACAGCCATATTAGTTCTTATTTGAACATACTGGTCTAGTGGAAATGCCCTCTGGCTACCAGACGGAGTTGATGAATGAGTAATATAGAGGATTCACAATTTATGCAAATGTATAGTCAATATGATATGATATCCGCTATATATTCTGGCAGATGAAGGAAATCCCTGTGATCAGAGACAGGTAAATTATATATCAGAGCACAATCGCCATATCAGGTCACTAATCATTTCTATCCCTCCCCCATCTATGCCCTATGATGTGCTGTGAGTTCATGAGTAATGAGTCGTGAGTTAACAGTAGGCTAAAGTACCTTCTCCAGCTGCTTAATTGTGTCCTCTGGGGCAACAGGTGATTCCCCAGTGTCTTTCGCCCTCTTGCACACACACTGGTACAGATTGAGAGTGGCCATCTTGATTGTGCCCAACAGCAGTGTCTTCTTGGCAGCTGTGTTCTGAATGTGGGCCCATCTTGACTCCTGTATATCAAGAGATAAATGATCATCCTTTGATCAGACTCTCTTAGTTCCCTTTGAGGACACTCAAGGCTGGTGTCCCGAACACAGACAAAAGGGGAGGTTCAGGACTAGCTTTATTAATCTGTGTCTGGGAAACTGTCCCTCAGAGATCAATCACTGTAAAATACACATAGGGAGAGTGATCATCTCATGTCTCACCCAGATCATGCCCTCAGCGCGGGCCTTGTCCAGCTGGCTCTGTAGCTGGGCCAGAGTGTTGCTGTAGTGCAGCAGGGTGTCATTGCTCTGCTCTATGAAGCGGGCTAGCTGGGCCCGGGTGTTCTCCGTGCTGTCCTGGTTCTGCTGGGTGGTCCGCACCAAGTCCTCCCGGGTCAGCATCAACGTTTCGTAGCGAGACATCACCTGTCGGGCCTCCTGAAACTGAGACACACAAAAGGAATTCCAAATCAACCCCTAGCCCCTACGGCCTAGGCACTTGTGTAGACCTAGGAGGATTGGACAGGTGTCAGCGATATGGCTACAATATTCCACCTGTCTTATCACAGGGCAAGATGGAGCCACCACCATATTGCTCCAGTCTGGTCAGATACAAGTGGCTAGGTATTGGTTTGTCTGTGAAGGCCAGTCAAATCACACACTACCTCAGAGTTCTTCTAATCCTCAGTATGACCTACCTGTTCACTGGCCTGTACCACTTTATCCAAGTAATGGGGGTATATGGCGTTCTTCTGCACTCGTTTCTCCAGACGGTCCCTCTCTTTGACAAGAGCTTTCGTCTCCTCCTGGAGAGTGACCAGGTCCACCTGCTTCTGATTGGTCAGTTCCCGCTCTCGGCTGGCCTTCCTAACAGCTCGACATCGTTTCACCTCGTTCTCCTGAATGAGATCATGGAAGAGGATGACCAATTCATCTTGAAGTCTGACTGATGGGTAGACTACAGGAGGGGGTCCATTGTTTAGTCTACGAAGTGATGTTCAGAAGCTATGACACTACCTTCAGAAAGTTGTCAAATTTCTGCAGATATTCCTTCATCTGGCCCTCCTTCTCTATGAGCTCATCCTTGCGGATTCTCAGGGCTCTGAGAGTTGACTCAAAATCCTGGAACCCAAACAGAATGTGAAGTGAGACCATATCATACGGGAGGATTGTGTTGTACGATTTTGGCTTATAATTTTATTGCCAGGAGTTGTTTGAGGTACGAGACACATTTCTTGAAATGGATTTCACCTCTCTTTGCAATGTCATAGCTTTGTTGACCTCCATGGCCTCCCGTCTCTTCTGCAGGAGACGGGAGGAAGGAGCCAGCATCTCATCTGCTGCGGACGTGGCCTTCCTGTCAAAATGGTCGGTGGAGATTGACTATCTTATTTCTTCTTGACATAACATTATCATTAGCAGAAGGCTCACGGTTTGTGTAGTGAGAGGAAAGTAATACATTAATGGAACAGATAGCAGCTTCTAACATAGGATAAAAAGTTCCTAAAATGTCTAGGTTAAATGTCACATTTTTACTCACAATAGCTGGTCTCGAAGGTTCTCTCCAAAATAACTTTTGAAATAGTCTGACAAATTTACAGACATGTTTATAATCTACTAATAATACTTGTTCATAAATAAGAAAATTGATAATTCAAGGCCTAATGTTATTGTTTTGACTATTTATGTGGGTGGCTTTAGAAAGCCAATGAGTTTCACAGAATCTTGAGTCAGAAAATAACAATGGTCTCATAGCAACTACTACAAATAAAAACAGAATGGACAGAATGATGGTCATAAATGGCCTGTTTTCTGGCAAGCTCCACTCATGGCAAGCTCTAGAAAGTTGTATAATTTAAAAAGCCTAGTGGAGCACTATTGGCAATCAAGTTAGTGTGCTAAAATTACGAAACATTTTTGGATGCATAAAACATTAGGGTACAGAGTATGGTCAGAGATTGATAATAAATATTTATTGTTTACAAGTAAATCTGGAATACAATGTATAAAGCTTTGTCACATTCTGATAGCATGGGCTTTTCTTTTATAATTTCAATGAGATGACAGGAGCTCAGAGGGATCCAAGTTACGGATGTATTTCCACAGGATATTGTCCTTGAAGCAGGAAAACAATTGATGAATGCATATTATACATATATTACAGAGCTTTGTCAAAGCACGACAAGAGGTAATACGGGATTTCTTAATGACAATTAAGTCATATCCATCTGAAATTGAAGTTAAATAATTAGCATAAACTGAATAAAACATAAGCACTGAACAACTAAAAGTACAACACTGGGAGAATATTGAATATTATTTTAACTGATTGATGTAACTGCTTTGAGAGAAAACTAAAACACAAACCAACAACAAATAAATAAGTTAATTTCTTACACCAGTCTCAAACATTAAACTGAGATGTTGACAATTGACAAGGGCAAAGTACCCTGTTTTTTTACAATCCTGCAAAAACATTGTAAAGAAAACATTTTCCCAACCCCTGATTACAATCAACTCTTTTCTCCACTTTCAGTTACTGGACATATTTTTGTGCAATAACTATCATTTCCATGTTAACAAATTGCAAATGAATCTGTAATGATATCATCAGATATTTAAGAGTTTGTTTCATGTTGCAGTGCAGCATAATAACTGTGCATATTTTTAATAATAATTTGGTGGGTGCTTATATTTGTCCCATTTTACAAATGTACAAGTGCGTATTAATAAGCATGTGTGAACTGGAAATGTGTTTTTTTTGCATATCCCACTCTCCCTGAGACACCCTCGGAGAGTGGGATCATGGCCCGGGTCTGCCATTATCAACAGCGGCCCTGGACCAATTAGGGTTAAGTGCCTTGCTCAAGGGCACAGACAGATTTTTTCACCTTGTTGACTGGGGGATTCAAAACTAGTGACCTTTCAGTTACTGGCCCAACGCTCTAACCGCTAGGCTGCCTGCCACTCTAGCATTTTAGAGATGCTTAAATGCACAATCCCATTTGGAATTATAGATACAAAAGCAAACAAATGGAAAACATACGAGCTATTGCAGCAGGGAGTTAAAACTCCATAATTATCACACATAAGCACTAATTGTCAAGAACAGGACGGATCAGAGAATAATAAACACCTATTAATACTTTACCAGTGTAACCCTTAGTACCCCTTTTACCAAATAGAAAAATTTCAAATAACTGTTCACAAGGGCAGCAAGCACGTTATGTAGTCAGTGAGTATGGAGAATACAGTAGTTACTGTGATTGATGACTTTGTAAAGACCAGTTACTTCCAAGCAACATTGTGGTACGCACGTAGGCTACAACTACATTTGAAATGCCAATGAAAATATGTGATGTAAATGTATTTAGATTGTTGTGCGAGTTTAACATTTTTATTGTTTGGAGTAAAAATAGAGGTCCTGCTACAAAATAATAGGTTTGATTGTGTAATCCTCCTTAACTTGGACTACTTCAATAGAGGGGAGAAAAAAATTGAATCTTGTTCAAATTCCTCATATACATACATTTCACAATATAGCATCAAATTAATCATGAAGTTGGCGTAGTGTCTAGCATGCACTGAAAAAGACAAATACATAATCATAGGTGAGATAATGCAACTTGAGTACCACTGTAGACAGTAGGCAGACCCCGGCTATGGTTAATTCTGATGGGATGTTTAGAAGAGGCAGACAGTCCAGAAATGAAGGATGTTTTATGCCTTACTTTAAGAGTCAGTGGAGGAGGCCAGGGCGGGTCAGTCTGCTGGGACTAGGATTTAAACACATAATTGCACACTAAAACATCCCAACATCAGGCTTTTCTTTCCATCAATAAGACAGACCTGTCCTTAGAGCATACTTACCAGAATGCCCTCATTAGAAGGGAAAGGGAAGGTTTTGTAGGACAGTTTGTCTTTAGAGCTTAGAACTCCTCGTGAACATTCCGGGCATAGTCCATGAGCTTGCTGCCAGTGAAGTATTCGCTGTACTTGAGAATCTCCTCCAGTTCCAAGTTGTGGTTCTGGTTCTCGTCGGCCACAGCGATCATCTGCTTAGCCTCGTTCAACGCGTTGTACTCGTTCATCGGGTCCATGTACTCCTGGAGAGCAGAGAGAGCATGAGAAAAAGACGGGGGGAGAAGGAAACAGTGTAAATATGTTATAATTTTTAAAAACATTTTCGGCATGGAAAAACACTTTCAGTGTAAACTTAAACTACTAAAATAATCTACAAAGTATGTAGAAAAGATAATGGACCTATATATTTTTTAATAATATCTTTGAGATCTAATGAGCACTAAAATAAAAACTACAGTCGAGGAGAATTGAGAATTCCAAAAACAATAATTTAGCAGTATTTATTTTTGTTATTATGTTTGAGCAAAAGAACACAGCATTAGCCATGGCAAAATGCATAGAATGGCAGGAACTTTGTGTTATTTGCAGGAAATTTGCTTTTAAAACTGCAAAAGTTGCTTAAGTTTCTCTCAGCTCCATGGAGAAATTTGTAGAATGCAGGAAATTGGCAAAAAAAGAATCTCTACATCGCCAAGATGGGGGCCTCTAAAATGTTCTGTAAAGTTCAGCCACGCCCCCTACCACACCCACCCCCTAAGCCCCTTTTTTATCCGGAAAAACCCTGCCATCAGGTCCTGCAGTATAACCAGCACACACGGCACCCACCTCTAGTTCCTCCATGGTTACGATGCCGTCATGGTTGCCATCGATGACCTCCTGAAACTCCTTCTTCCTCTCTCGTACCCAGTCATCATCGATGTCCTGAGCCTGCTGGTTCTCCACAGTGCCCATGGGCAGGGAGATGAACTCAGACAGAGTCAGCTTCTTGTTACCATCCTGGTCTGTAAAAACAACACAAAATACACATCACACTAAAATAGCATTATAGTAACACTTTTCATGATTGATCATGATCATCCACAACTTATGTATTCATTCTGCATATTTGTCTTCAACCGTTAATTCATTCTCATACTCTATCACTTATACTAAAACGTATAGCATTATACATAGAAACAATAAACTGAATTCAAATCAAAACTAATTTGAGCGAGTAGAGTAGAACGTACCTAGGTCGCGAACAATCTCCTTGACCATGTATTTGAGCATTCCTTTGCTGTGCTCTGGGTGCAGGAAGGAGAGGAACTCTTCCTCGTTCAGCAGCTGGTCGGCTGGGGGGTTATCAGCCTGGAACCAGCGGTCCTTCAGATTCTCCAGCACCTCCTGGGCTGCAAAGAGACAGTAAATACAAGCATTACTGGCAGAGTTAGGGGAAATAGGCTACTATCAGGGGTGTGATCAGGACAACATCGAAAATTAGAAAGAAAACTGATATTGGTTTGGGGGGGGGGGGGGGGTAGGTCAGTTTCAATGATATTATGAACAGAATACAGTCAAGAAAAGCCAGAATTCCTGATTTATCAGTAGAAATGCATGGTCTACAACTAAAGTAGTGTGGTGCAGATTGTATTGTTGTGGATTAACTTACTCTCCTCGTCCACCTTCAGTTCTTCACTGTTCTTTATCTTGTCAGCCATTTCCTTCTTGTTGAATCCTTTGCTGGCCAGAAACTTTACCCGGTATTCATCCCATGTCACATGGCCTATGAGGAGAATATAACGGTTTAGGGACTGGCGCTAGACTGTGTAGGAAGGATTTTGAGGCAGTTTTGGGAAACAGTGCTGTCATGTCATCAGGTCTGAGATGTATTGTGGCCCACACATATCAGGTCTGAGGCCTAAAAGTAGGACATCAGTGTTGGTAACAAACGCATTGCTCTCAATCAATAGGTCACCATCATGGCTATGTATCAGGGTGGTATTCATTAGGCCACAGCTACAGAAAATGAAAACGATTGGTTATTGTTGGACAAGTCCAGGTAGTCCCTCCTTGTTTCACTCTGTTTTCTTCCGTTTTGGTGCCTAATGAATAAGACCCAGATAAGAATGTCCTCTCGCTTACCATCTCCATCTGGGTCCACAGCATGGAAGCTCATCTTGTTCTCTCTCACAGCCTCCTGGAAGTGTTCCTCTGTCTTCTCCACGATCCAGCGCTGCATCTCCTTGGCACTGACGCTCTTATCATTATTAATGTCCACCCTAAGGACGAAAGCCTAGTGTTGAGACCTTGTCGATCTACAGTTTTACATTTAGGTAATTTAGCTAGAAGACGCTCTTATCCACAGCGACTTTCAAAACACAAACACTCAAATGGAGTATCAAGTTCAAGTAGTTTATTAAAATCCACTATCATATATCTGCTTCAGCCCCAAACCCAGATCATTTTGGAACGTTTTGTAACCGAGTAAGATGCAACCTTAGCTCAAAATATGCTTTCAAAGGTTTCAGCTTTCATGCTTTTCCAACACAGTCATTCCTTTGCCATATAGGGTCAAAATAATGGAACGGTAGTGAGGATTTGTCAAGGAACCTGGACGTTTGGCAAGGGTGACAAGTAGGATTAAAATATCTGGACTGTTTCGCTTCAACAGTATTTATAAATCAGCCTCCTAGCTTTTACTACATGGCACCTAGCTTACCCAGTATGGGGTAGATAAGGCCAGATATTTACTTAGACTGCTGTGGTTGACCTATTAGATGCACTCACTTCTTCATTCTCAGGAACACTGCTTTGTTTATCATAACAGATAGCCTAGCCTCACTTGTTTAAAATAGGAACCTGACCATGAACGGTGTACACATTAACTGGATGTGTATAGGCTACATAGACATGGTCCAAACTCCCAACTAAGAAATGTGGATTTATCATATTACAACCTTGCATCTACACACCATTTCACAATTTGACCTACACAAAAGTCAGCTGAAAAGTGGAAAAAAAATACAGACACTCCACAAAGCTAAAACTGGGTCAACATTAGGTGAATGTACTCAACTCAGAGAGTATGTACATGACTCATGAGTCATGAAATTGAAAGCCAGTCATCCCCACTTACTTGCTGAAGATGTCAATGAGCTTGTTCCTGTTCCTCTTGGGCTCAGAGTCCTCTTCAAACTCCTCCATCTCCTTACCCAGGAACACCTCCTGATGGAAGTCCTTGTTGATATGACCGTCCATCTCCAGCTTCATCCCGTTCAGATGGTCTGGGGGAAGGATCTCATTCTCCTCTTTATTGGTGGGGTTGTTCTTGTCCTTCAGGGATGACATGTTAGCTGGCCGGGCATGGACGTCCATGGTGTTGTGGAGCAGGCAGAACAGGGCCATGGACACAGCCAGAAGGTGTCTGCACCAAGCCGTCCTCCAGTAGTTAGCCATGGCTTCTTCCAAGGTCAGTGTCCTTGCTTGCGCACGGACTGATGAATACACCTGTCTACACAACAACACTGGGTAAGGTGGCTAGCTTCATTACAGACTTTAATAGTGTGGTTCTTGGCTAGCTAGTCATAACGAGGACAGCAATCATTTTTGCCACCCGCACTGCATGGTCGAAGTGGGAGAAGAAGAGAAGCTCAATCGGAGTCCATCAAAACATCCAAATGGTCTAAACCATTAAATTATGAGACGGGGTGAAATCAAAAGTTGTGCCTATTTTTAAAGATAAATATTGATCATTACTAGCTCTAACACTTTTAATTCATTAGTGGGAGATGGTGCCTACATACACCATAGACACACACAGAAGTCATCGTAGACAGATCCAGCTCAGAGGCCCAGATCATGAGCTCCATCAGCAGCAGATTTGAATGTAGAATGGAAAATTACTGTGTTTATGCAACAAATGGAGCCCATGTATCTAGATACATTTCGAATCTTTCTGAAACGGAAAGATGCACATTAGGGATGTAACAATTCACTGATAGGCATCGGTCCCCGGTTTAAATGTTTATGATACTAGTGCATCAGTCCGAGTGAGCCCAACCCAATCCAAATTAAGCAAGCATCGGTCAGAAAACGGATTAAAACGTTAAGAATCGCCGCTCAGTAATGTTTTTTACTCATTGTTTTATTCCGAAAATATATCTTATCTGTTGCGTCTGAATTGATGCGTCCAGCTCAGTAGCCTACCAAACTTTTATGCATGTAACTGCCTATGACTGTCAGATAACAACAGTGCGGGAGACACAGCTGCTCGCGCCAACAAGAGGTAGGCCTATCCTAGAGGACTAAACCCCATGGTGAAGGAAGTTTCTAATGAACTTCAACAGCTGGAGCCGATACCAGGCTTTGTGGAGTCTAGCTCTGACTACATCGAGTCGCCCAAGGCTAATACTTCAAAAAATTTAAATTATGCAACGCCCACCTTGTAATTTTAAATACCATTACCGACTGATGCCATCTTAGAGCAACAGCAATGAGCAAACAGTCATTGGTTGTATTTAATTAACATTTCTTGAAAAAGTATGGATTTCAGCAAACAAAGAAAGGCACGCAACTACAGAGGACAAATATACAAGGTTAGCGTTTCATAATTTACATTTTTTAAAGTATTGATCTTGGGCAAATCGATGTAGTCAGAGCTAGATTACACAAAGCCTGGTCTCGGCTCCATGCTGTTGGTGAAGTTCATCATAAACTTCCTTTACCATGGAGTGGAGTTTAGTCTGCAAGGCCTATCCCTGTTCTAGGCTATTCGTACATCTGCACCTTCAGATGCGTGTAAAATGGCTTTTGCAATGTATAGCTTTGCATAGGCTTTATTAGTAAAGCATAGACTTTATTAGTTGAGTGAAAACCAATGTAATTTGCTAGTTCGTTGTTACCAAATGCGCTGTAGAGAATGGTGTTTTACCGGAGTGGACACACAACTCACATCCAACTGCTGATTGGGGTTTTTAAATCGATCAGATTTTATTTAGATTGTTCAGGTTCACCATAATAACTGGTTTTGGTAGCTTTAGTGTAAACATCAGTGTATTTGGTCATTTCTACATGAACAGGGTAATTTCATCAAGAACAGCAATACTTTTTTGGAGTTACTCATGGCCATATTTGTCGGAGCGTGAGAAGCTTGGTGCGTGTAAGGCTTATCAACCCAATGATCTAATACGTTCGTTCAAGTTGAATAACATAATATTTGTTTCAATTTCTAAATGTTCTGGTTCACTTGTAAAATTGAAAAATAGAAACTGAGTTAAAAATTTTCAACCCTCTACAATTAAGATTTTGATATTGTTTTTCAAATTTACCTTGTGTCGTTTGAAAAATCAACATTGAAATATTGGTGCGAGTGTTCAAGTGGACGCTACTATTACAGTGCGCAGGGAGAGACACTACTCATCCAAAGTGGTAAATGAATGGGGTCCTTTGGATGAGAAATATCTCACACACACAGGACAGCAGGTAAAGGCGAGTGCTGTGAGTCATGGCCTGTGGCCCTTTGGAGGCGAGGCTTGGCCTGCATGCACGTACAGTGGCTCTGCCCCACCTGTTGAGCCCCACCTGTTTAGCTTAAAAAATTTTGTTTTTGTTTTGTTTAAATCACTAAAAAGAAAAAAATGTGCCTGTTTTGAATGTTATTTTGGCATTAATAGGTGTCACATATCAGTTTGCAAACAATGTAAAAAAAACAACATTGGAGTTAATAAAACTGCATACAAACATGGTCTCTTTTTTGCTTTCTTGAGTAAGGCAGCTCCAAAATGCAGGTGTTTCAGCCTAGCTCAGTGCCTTCTGTGGTGGTGAGGGCAGCCAGCGGAAAATACAGAGCGTAGGGGTTGGTAATGTTCTCTAGTTGCGCCTTGATTGGCTCAGTGTTCTGTCACTCATGGGGACACTACGTCACCGCAAAATCTACAGGGAGAGCTAGAATGTTCAAACCCCCTTGGGTGCTGCCATAGAGTTACATTAGAAGTGCCCATCCAAGAAGGCTCAAGGTCATTGGCTACAGATAAAATGACGTCAACTCACGTTATATCTACCGTAGCTTTGACTGGACTGATCATGTCAACATCATACTTGCAAAATCTTAGCTAGCAAGCTAGACAAGCAGTCATCATCCTGAATCATGTCTACAATCTACTGGCATATCATTTTCAATCCTTGTCATATGAAGAGAAATTATAGATAAAAACGTATCGTGCTCACCGGCCATTGGACATTAAACAATGAGTGGTTTTGAAGGAATCAGGGGCTAACTGCAAGCGTTGCAAGGCAATCACTATTTAGCTTCCCCTGCCTGCTATTCGGTGGAGAGGGTGTGTGGTCCAAGTCTGGGTTTAAGGATCTCTTTTCCAAGCTTAAAAAAAGAATCAATCTTCACACACAACATCTCCTGAGTGGCGCAGTGGTCTAAGGCACTGCATCGCAGTGCTAACTGTGCCACTAGAGATCCTGGTTCGAATCCAGGCTCTGTCGCAGCCGGCCGCGACCGGGAGACTCATGGGCGGCGCACAATTGGCCCAGCGTCGTCCAGGGTAGGGGAGGGAATGGCCGGCAGGGATGTAGCTCAGTTGATAGAGCATGGCGTTTGCAACGCCAGGGTTGTGGGTTCAATTCCCACGGGGGGCCAGTATAAAAAAATATGTATTCACTAACTGTAAGTCGCTCTGGATAAGAGCGTCTGCTAAATGACTAAAATGTAAATGTAAATGTAAACACCATGGGCCAGAAAAGGTTGAATATATTGACCATGCTGTCAATCCAGGATGACTTCTGCCGCGTTCAAAACAACTAGAAACTCGGAACTGGGAAATCTCTGACTTCAATAAGTTCAAGACAACTGGGAACTCGGGAAAAAACGAGCTCCGACTGGGAAAATATATTTTGAATGGTCAACCAACTCGGAATCTCAGGCCTCTTTCTAGAGCGCCGACCTGAAGATCACTGATGTCATGATTCATGATCCAATTTGTAAGTCGCTCTGGATAAGAGCGTCTGCTAAATGATGTAAATGTAATGATTCGACCTTGTTTTTTCCAGAGTTTACAGTTGTCTTGAAAGCACCATCAATCCAGACAATACCAGACTTTGATGACAAAGTTCCATGACAAAATTTGCCCACAAGGACCACCGCACCACCTTCCTGTTCAAATGAGCACAGCACAACAGTGAGTCCAAAAATGTATTGTATGCTGCTGCATAAATGATGTAATATGCCAGGGAGATACAGTGGGGAGAACAAGTATTTGATACACTGCCGATTTTGCAGGTTTTCCTACTTACAAAGCATGTAGAGGTCTGTAATTTTTATCATAGGTACACTTCAACTGTGAGAGACGGAATCTAAAACAACAATCCAGAAAATCACATTGTATGATTTTTAAGTAATTAATTTGCATTTTATTGCATGACATAAGTATTTGATACATCAGAAAAGCAGAACTTAATATTTGGTACAGAAACCTTTGTTTGCAATTACAGAGATCATACGTTTCCTGTAGGTCTTGATCAGGTTTGCACACACTGCAGCATGGATTTTGGCCCACTCCTCCATACAGACCTTCTCCAGATCCTTCAGGTTTCAGGGCTGTCGCTGGGCAATACAGAATTTCAGCTCCCTCCAAAGATTTTCTATTGGGTTCAGGTTTGGAGACTGGCTAGGCCACTCCAGGACCTTGAGATGCTTCTTACGGAGCCACTCCTTAGTTGCCCTGGCTGTGTGTTTCAGGTCGTTGTCATGCTGGAAGACCCAGCCACGACCCATCTTCAATGCTCTTACTGAGGGAAGGAGGTTGTTGGCCAAGATCCTGCGATACATGGCCCCATCCATCCTCCCCTCAATACGGTGCAGTCGTCCTGTCCCCTTTGCAGAAAAGCATCCCCGAAGAATGCTGTTTCCACCTCCATGCTTCACGGTTGGGATGGTGTTCTTGGGGTTGTACTCATCCTTCTTCTTCCTCCAAACACGGCGAGTGGAGTGTAGACCAAAAAGCTCTATTTTTGTCTCATCAGACCACATGACCTTTTCCCATTCCTCCTCTGGATCATCCAGATGGTCATTGGCAAACTTCAGACGGGCCTGGACATGCGCTGGCTTGAGCAGGGGGACCTTGCGTGCGCTGCAGGATTTTAATACATGACGGCATAGTGTGTTACTAATGGTTTTCTTTGAGACTGTGGTCCCAGCTCTCTTCAGGTCATTGACCAGGTCCTGCCGTGTAGTTCTGGGCTGATCCCTCACCTTCCTCATGATCATTGATGCCCCACGAGGTGAGATCTTGCATGGAGCCCCAGACCGAGGGTGATTGACCGTCATCTTGAACTTCTTCCATTTTCTAATAATTGCGCCAACAGTTGTTGCCTTCTCACCAAGCTGCTTGCCTATTGTCCTGTAGCCCATCCCAGCCTTGTGCAGGTCTACAATTTTATCCCTGATGTCCTTACACAGCTCTCTGGTCTTGGCCATTGTGGAGAGGTTGGAGTCTGTTTGATTGAGTGTGTGGACAGGTGTCTTTTATACAGGTAACGAGTTCAAACAGGTGCAGTTAATACAGGTAATGAGTGGAGAACAGGAGGGCTT